GCAGCAGCATTTTAAACCAAATTCTATTCTTAAATCACATTAAAATCAACAGTGTGAGACAAGTTTAGAGGTGTTGTAAATAGCAGGTGTGAAATCACTTTCAAGATTCCTAAACTTTGGCCTGCTAACCTGACTTTATGCCAAATCTGTCCTAAAGGCTGTAATTTCAGTTGAAGTGCATTTGCTGACCAAGCTGCATATTAGTGTTAATTATAGGTTTTTACTGGTGTGAAAGCAGAAGCTATATGCCTACTCATTCATTTCAGTAGGACTTACTCTTAGGAAAGCAGGTTTAAGATTGCAGTTTACGTTGCAAAGTCACAGAATTTGCAGGGGCTGGAAATGGTAATTTAATTTGTTCCTCTCCCATGAGATAGTGTTTCAGTTATTTTTTTCCATTTGGGTGAGTAATCAAGGCAGTTATAAGGAGCCTACAGAACTGTGTCCAACCCCTGGTTTCTGCTGAGGCCATCGACTCTAACATCAGTCTGGGAAAAACATTAATAAGTACATAATATTGGACCACATATTCTAGTTCATCTTATTGTTCTGTCAATTACCTTGAAAGGAAACTCCAAATTAGTCAACTTTAATGAGTGTATTCCACTGAATAAATGACTTCATTTTTAAAGTGACACTTCACTATCTGCTTAAAAGCAGTCTGTGTAGAAATTTCTATTATTAATCCAAAAGAAGCAACAAGAGTTTTCAAGTTGACAGTCAGTATCTACATTTTGGAATGTGTGCTAATGCAGGAAAATGTAGAGTATTATTTAAATAGATGTAACACTGAAAGTGTTGCATATATAGGAAGAGAGCAATGAAGGTTGTAGGCCCTTTATACCCCTCTGTTAAATCTTGTCAGGCAAATCTCTTTATTTCTAAATGCAGAAGTTATTTGTCTAAAATTCTGCTCAGTGGGATTGCCTGTTGAGGTGACAATTTAATTTCGGTGAGGGCCCAAGGGGGAGGAGCACTCATACTTTTCTCTGTCCCTGGCTGTCTAGACAAAAAGTCATAATGGAATAATTTGCTGCATCAAAAAAGTAACAGTTGATTGCACACAATGTACTAGGGACTAGCAGAGAATAAAAATACATTTCTCCTTGATTTTCACTTCTATTATCTATTATAGTTTGCTCTCTTCACATAGGCAAGTAGAGAAAGATAAGATCTTTGCAAAATCCCAGTGATGTAACAGAACTTTTCTGTTAGGACCCTGCATGATGATAACATAAGATAATGGTTTGTGAACTCTTCTACTTCCAAATTTTCACTGAGGTTTTTAAGATAACACAGGGTGTGACTACAGTACTCTATTTGCCACTTAGTATGATCAAGGTATATAGTGAGGTTTTAAGGATGGCATATGCATGATTTCCACCTTGGGCAGGTTTGCCCAAGGTGACCCTGCCCTGGTTTTTCTCCGCAGCAATTGTATTGTACAGGTGCTGCTGTTAATATCTTGCACATACAGAATCACCTATGGGCACAGGAGTTGGCCCTGACTGATTCAGAAGAGCAGAGCCTCTAGCAAGCTAGAGACAAATAGCTCTTCCTGAACTTGAGCATCCTTGCCTTAGCAGCTGTAGCTCCCAATCACTTTACTGTACCTCTGTAGTAAGGTGGAGAACTTGTGTTGGTCCAAGTATTTAGGCCTACATCTCTCATCTTTCCTCATCACATCTGGAGGACTACCAGTTACCTACTTTTTAATCACCTGCTTCTCTTACAGTTGATTTTTGAAAGTCTAATACTTTCATAGGCTCAGCAGTTCTGTTTCCTGCCCCTCTACCTTGCTTGGAATGCAGTGGGCAACTGAGTGATAGAGCCACATTTAATCAGAGCTCAGCTGGAATGGATCACGTCATTTTTCTGAAGGAATTTCTGCTTTTTTTCACCCCACCGCTGAAAAGGTTCTAACAGAGAACAGTTTCTAATGTAACATTTCAGAAAGGGTTGCTGCATGCAGTCACTTCACTGAGGTTGTGAAGGAGGGAGAATGGATTTAGAGGCAACACAATAACTACTCTTGCAACAACTTTGCATACTGCAGGTGCTCCACAAAATACAACACAGATATCTCAGCTCCACCTAACATCAGAAAGAGCCGTCTCTGGTAATTTTTAAAATGAACAGTACAGTCCTATACACTTGTATGTCTACATGGAGGTAAGTTCAGTTGGGTTCCATAGAGTTTACTCCCAGATGAATGAGTATAGCAGTGTTGGGGAAACTTAGGAGGATGCTGGAGTCCAGCCAACATGTCCAATGGACATGGTATTATGGGAATTGAAGTCCAACAAAACCTGTGGAGCTGCAGGTTTCCCAGACATGGTGTACTGAATAGCAGCCTAAGCCTTTCAACTGATAAGTAATATTTTAAGAACAGTTATTGTCATTGATTATGGTCATGCAATGCTCTTTGTGAAATGATGCCATGGGCTATATTGATCTATAACACTTAACACTGGTACAATGTATTTACTCCACAGCCAATTTATTGTAAGAAGAAGACATGTATCCTGAACACAAAAACACAAGATAAATAAACAAAACACACTGTTATATTCACCCTTACACAAACAGGTATCTTTGCTGTTCTAGCACAGAACCAGCCTCAAAAATAAATTTCCCACAAGATTAATACAGTATAAGTGCATAATTTATCCAAATGTTAGAATAATAAGACAAGTTAATAAATAAGGATACTATTTGGATTGTTTTGTTTCCATGAAGCTATGCAGAAAACATGCAGTAAAACTGAATAACCAGGATTTGGAGTGAGGGTGAGTTTATACAATCTTTTTTAGACAAAAATATTGCCCTTCAGAGAGAAATATATAATTAATCCATGATTACTCATTTTTATTAAAACATATCTATGCAGTATCACAGGCATATAATGGAAATTTAGCCATTAAATTGTAGGTGAATCAATATGATTTGGTGTGTTTTCTGGTTAAAAATCTGATTATGTAAACACATCCTCTGATGATAGGTCTTTTTCTATTTTATTTTCTAATGCCCATGATTACATCTAACATAAAACTGGCAGTGCAGAATGGCACAGTTGCCATATTTAGCTTCTTGGCTGACAATAATATCCATACTTGAGTCAAAAATTCCATCTAAAACTTGGAAAAATGTAACATAAAAACTTACATGTTATTCTTTCTGAAGCCACCCATAAAATATTTTAGTACATATGTCAAGATAGGAGACACACTGGCCATACACTTCAAAAAGACAGGCTGATAATAAATACCGTATTTTTCGCTCTATAAGACACACTTTTTTCCCCCTCAAAAGTAAGGGGAAATGTCTGTGCATCTTATAGAGTGAATGTGTGTGTGCCCGACACCCGGGACGCTGCCAGCCGCCTGCACCACGTGGCACCACCTGGCCAGCACGCGCTCGGTGTGCCCTGCTCCGCCCCCCCCCCCGGTGCAGGTGAGAGCTGTGCCGCTCAGGGGGAGGCGTGCAGAGGAGGAGCTGCGGCCTTTAACCCGCAGGCCGCACGGAGAGCATGGACAGACAGACTGCTCACCCCCACTGCCCGGGAAGACCTGCTGCCGCCGCCGCACTGCCCGGAAGACCATTGCCGGCATGCTGCTGGCCGCTTGCACCGCGTGGCACCACCTGGCCGGCACGCGCTTGGCGTGCCCTATTCCACCCCCCCCCCCGGCGCAGGTGAGAGCTCTGCCGCTCAGGGGGAGAGGTGCGGAGGAGGAGGAGCCGCAGGCTTTAACCCACCGGCTGCACGGAGAGATGGACTGTCACCCCCACCACCCGGGAACTGCTCACCCCCACTGCCTGGGAAGACCTGCCGCCTCTGCTGTGCTGCCCGGAAGACCACCGCCGGCATGCTGCCGGCCCCATGTGGCACCACCTGGCCAGCACACACTTGGCGCGCTCTGCTCCGCCCCCTCCTCCGGAGCAGGTGAGAGCTGTTAATCACAGGTCAGTGTGTGTTTTCAAATGGCAACCCATCTTTTAATGAAGCCCATGGGGAAGTGATGGGGAATGTGCCTGTGATTATCAGGAAGCTTTCCATGGATCCGTTATCTGTTAGTTGATCAGACACATTTTTTTTAGGATCAGTGGATATTTGAACAACATTACCTTCGTGTATGAAGTTTATTCTTCAAAGGCTACTTAGTCCGCTGTGTGTTTGATTTACCGTATAATATCTCATTTTTTGTCAGAAGTTTTTTTCTATTATTTACTAGTAGGGCAGCATGGACATTACTGGCCTTTTTAGATTTGTTATTGAATTGTCTGCAGCAGCTCTTGTATAACTGGTGTAGATTGTGGATTCCTTCAATAATTCCACTACTGACGAAGAAAGTGATGTCAGTGATTGTGAGCAACAGAGCTTCATAAATTCTGACTCTAGTGATGATGAGTTCTATGGGTTCAATGAAAACTAGAAGAGTACTTGAACTTTAAAGTCTCTCTTTTGCTAATGACAGTGATGATGGTTCTTAATGCCACTGTTGACTGCTGTTACAAGGTTGAAATATGGTATTACTGCATTCTGTTATAGTTTATTAAATAGTTTAGTAAACCATTTGATTCAGAATATTTTTTTTCTTGTTTTCCTTCTCTAAAAACTAGGTGCATCTTATGGTCAGGTGCATCTTATAGAGCGAAAAATATGGTATTATGTTCATAGTTCTGCAGACTAATACTTAAAACTCTATTATTTTGTGACCCTAAGAACAGGGGCAAATCACCATTCATAATGAATGTGCATAACACAGATGCTGTCTTCTGCTAACTCTCACAAGTAGAACCTGAACAAGATCTGATGGGACATTTCTACAGACTCACTTGTCCCTGTGTTGTTCAGACTGCAACATTCTTGCTTTATATCCTTTGGTGCAGGTGGTAAGCAAGCAAGCATAAAATATCCTAGACCACCCAGTAACCAGAAAGGTCAACTAGCTTGCACCATGGAAAGGGAGGCGCAAAGAAAAGGACTTGCTATTCTGTTTTTAAAGTCCAGTGTTGTTAGAAAAAGGCGGAGCCCAAGCAGGGTATGTATGGAGGTTGAACAAAGGCTGAGCCCATGTCATGACAGCAAGCATGACGACAGCAACTCCAATGATGTTTACACCCAAACCAGCTTTTACCTAAAAAAAAAAAAAAAAAAAAGGAGGAGGAAAACAAGATTGTTAGAAGATCTGTTGCTAATTTAGAGAATTCGCCTCCACAAGATGGTTAGAGTAATGGTATGGTGGCTAAAGGATTGGGCTTGATGGAGAAGTCCAGTTTCAAATTAGCCATAAAGCTCACTAAGTGACTTTGCACCAGTTACAGTTTTTCAGACTAAGCTACCTCAAAGGGTAGTTGTGAGGAGAACCATGCTTGAGTTCCTTAGAAGAAAGGTATACTGAATTGATATTCAGTCAACAAATCATAAGTAGTAACTTAGAAACCTTTTGAATGGGATTAGACATGGGATCCATATAGCGTTGATGGCTAGATAACACCTCCATTGTCAGAGGCAGTATGTCACTGAATACCAGTTATCGGGAAGCAACAAGGGGAGAGCACTGTTTCCTTCAGGCCCTGTTGTGGCTTCCTGGAGATACCTGGTAGGTTATTGTGGAAATGGGGTTCTAAATTAGATGGACTTTTGATCTGAATGCCCCAGGGCTCTTCTCACCTTTTAAGAATAACTGAGATGCTGCATGAGATGCATTTTATCAGGCAAAAGATATAGTTGATGCTCTTGTTGTTAATAATGATGAAGAAGAAAATATTGCAAGATATGCCCATGTACCATGCATTATTTGCTGATCACTCACCATGTCGACAACTTGCAGGTGTCCATATGAAAATACGATGGCATTTGGTGGATTTGCTACAGGTAGCAGGAATGCAAATGAAGTGCAGAGGGTGGAGGGTATCAAGATATAAAGGGGATTCACATGGATGGCTTCAGCCTGTTAGAGAAGAAAACATTGGCAGAAATTGTTCTCTCTACAGGATAATTGTACAAGCACTAGTTAAATGAGTTAACAGTTAAATGAGTTTAATTAAATAGCTCAGAGTTAAATGGTGCTCCTTTATTTTGCTAGGCTGAGGAATCCATAGTCAAAATGGCTGTGATGGATCAATATTGGATGACATTTGTCAAAATTCACAGTATAATCACCAACGGTTAGGATAAGGAACTTGATTGTATTATGATAAGATGCCCAAGGCACCCAGGAAGGAAACATATTCTTAATTGTGTGTTTTAATTAAGATTTTTATATTGATATTTTAACTTATTGTTTTATCTATGTTGTAAGCCGCCCCGAGGCTTCGGCGAATGGGGCGGCATAAAAATGTTTTAATAAATAATAAAATAAATAAAATAATTCAATACATAACTATGCTTGCAGCCTCACAGACAGAACATTCAGAGCATGATATCCTCTATGTGATTGAGAAGAATGACCAATATTTTGCCATTACCATCCCTTAAGAGCCATAGAAAATATATATTTATTCTTTTTCCCAACTTATGCAAACATCAAGAAATAGGTATGACCTAGAACCTGTTTACACTAGGAAAAGTAACAGGAAATTGCTACCAGAATAGCTATGTTCTATTTTCATAGTTCAGACCAGTTCTCTCTCAAACATTTTGAATGAATGGAAAATACATCTTGTTAAAGCCATCTTTACAATCCAGACTGTGGATGGACCATTGCAAGTCATACAAGTTTTACAAAGGTTACTCACCAAAGGGGCTAAGATAGGTAAAAATATAGTGATAGTTGCAGGATTGCTGGCCACTTCAGTTATAGAGGTGACAATCAAAGATGAAATGAGGATTATCAGCCATATGGGAAGTGATCCTAGAGGAGTTAATTTGCTTCCTATCCATTGTGAGAGCTTTGAAACCTGTAAAAAGGAACACTCACACAGTTATCACCAAATATTAAATATTTTTGGAACTGTAGCATTAACAGAATGTCTTCACTTATTATCACTTATCTCTTCACAGTGTCAATTTGAAAATGGAAATAACTGGATTTGTAAGAATTCATGCCCCCAAAATATTCCTTCATCTCCAAGTGTATTTGTAATTTAACCATGTAAATGGTTATGTGACATTTTGGCTATATAATCATGCTGCTTAGATAGCAGGTCAGCCAGATCTTTTTAGATAGCAAGCCACTTTTTCTTATACCTCGGATCAGTGATCAGAGATAAGAAGGTATTTAAAAGCAATTATCCCCTTTAAATAACCTGCAAAATATGGAGTGTACATTGTACCTTAGTGTTGATTAGATTTGCTTAGAATGAAGCTGTCAGAATTAATAACATTTCTATTTGGCCTTGCTCTTGTTGCTTCCTTTGTCCTTAGTGTTGCACCATGGTCTTAAGGCTGATCACTGCTGGAATGCGACCTTCAGATCCTTTCTATGTCCGGAATGGCCTTTGGGCTGAAAAAGGGCTAACACCCATAATGTAGGGGATGCTGAAAACATTGCTTAGTAGGAAGGAGCGCCTATCAATATTTGCTCTGTTACTACAAAGAATAATTAAACTGTCTAGTCCAGTCAAGTCAGTAGGACTTATTTCCAAGTAAATACATTTAGATTAGAATCATGTTTTTAAGCTCAATAACCAGGTGGGTATAATTTTTGGATCAAGATGGGGATGAAAGTAATGGGGTTGGAACCTTTCCTGGACAAGCAGCTATGCCTCTCCCAGGTGCTTTTCTTAAGAAATGGCAAGAAAGTAGTATATGAATAAGGAACAGATGAATCTGCAAAAACCTGAGTTTTGTGATCTTTTTGATTCACAAACCCCTCCCCACAGCTTTATTTGTTCATTCATTTTCAGTGGGTGGTATCTAAATTCTGTGCTGGCCTCAGAATTCTATGTTGGCCTCAGGCTGTATGCTGATGGCATAACATCATTTTTGTCAGAAAGCTACCCTACTTTGCAAGAATTGTAACACAATGATAGATATTAAGAGGATGCATTCCTTTGAAATCATCATTTTATTTCTGAACCTCTGCTAACTCCTAGGGTCTTTCAAACCAGGATTTACAAACCACTGGTCTGTGCAAATGCTGATTTGCTTTTTCATCTAAATTGACAAACCATCACCAAATAGTTTTGTTCTACCTTCAAAGGTAGTCACACTTTTACGGAATGAAGCACTTATGAAACTGAATGCTGTTGAGCAGATGAAAGCAGACAAACTAGAAGCCACAGCTTGCTTGTTGTACATTGGGATCTCCAACCATGTTATGAGTTCTTAACTATGGTTAGCAAAAACTATATATAATTCTTTATATAATTTATAACACTGTATATAAATAAATAACCTTTATCCTCTGCTACACCAGCTGGATGATTTGCATGGGTCTGTTACATTACAGCCCACAGTGGATTTTTTATTATATGTGTACGTGCATGAAAAAAGTTCTCCGTAGGCTTCACTGAGGGTAGTAAATATGTTTCACTACTAACTCCTGAAATGTGGCATAAAGAAAGAACCGTAAAGCTTATTTCAAGCATTTAAACTGAATTGCAGCATTGTGTTACATGAAGCTGGGCCGCTGTAGGATGTAGCAGCCTATAGACTATGGGGCACAATCCATAAATGGCCGGGGAATGTTTGGAGTTCTTAGGGCAGATGACTGTACCCTCTAAGGACCAGCTTTCTCCATGTAAAGTCCTGAATGTTATCAGTTCCAGGAAAACTTGTATGCTAGCCTCCTACTTTCCCATATCTTCCAGAATTACATTGCTTAATTATTGACCTAGCTATCTTTCTATCTAATGGAATAACCTTGAAAACACACCTGCTTTTTCTCAGGGTTTTTTTTTTTTTTTTGCAACTAGGCACAGTCTATTAATATTATCATTGATTGAATATGTTGTAAAAAAATCTACATTACCTCACAGCCATCTGCCAGTGCAAACCCTCCACCAACAAGAATGGCAATTTCCCAGGGCATGCATGCCTGAAATTCTTTCCAAGTTATCAGTGGAGTGTAATAATAAACAACTAGAGGGGGAGAAAGATATTTTTTAATATCTGGGGGAGGGGAAAAGCCCATAACATTATAATTTCATTATTTATTTGTCTCTTTCTACACACACAGACCTGAGGAATGTGATGCTCCCTCTTGACTCTTCCTTAGCAAAACTCTATGGTCATTCACATTCAGAGCGTCTACGTGTTCATTAAGCTTGCCCATGTGAGGGCTAAGAGTATAGTGGGAACATAAATGTGGAGACAGGCCCCACACCCAAAGTTCCTAGGTTTGCAGGGACATCTAAGCACTAAAGTCTAGAAGGGTGTAACAACTTTCTTCATGATCAGGAACCCTGTTCGTTGGTTTCAACCCCTTCTCCATGCAGGACTCCAAGCTCAGGCCTCCCTAGTAGAGGGCTGTCCAGCTGCATCCCCCAGTGAAATTCCCCAGTGTGGGGAAGTCCACGTTAGCCCACCTATGCCCCCTTCCTCCTATCCGAGGTCTTTGTGTGCCGTGCCTTCTGGAATCTGTGCCTCACAGCAGGCATAGTCTCATTATTAATCTTTGCAAGCCCTTCTTAGGGCATTTTTTGGCCAAAGAGTGGGGTAAAAATACTGTACATAAAAGATGAGACTCAACATTTAAAGCATTCAAATTCCTTTTAAAATGTGCATTCTGAATTTGAATTTTGAATAGAAACATTTGGCACATTTCAAATATTTGGAAATAATTTATTTTGGCTCTGGTAAAGAGATTGTGGCCATTTCATCTCTCTGCACAAGTCTTCTGTTTGAAACAGAATCAACTGGTACTGAATTAGAAGTCTGAATCAGAAGCTAGTTTACAAGAGTTGCAGGATTCTCTGGTAACCCAGACAATTTCTTTGGACATGGTTGGTTTACACAGCCTGCAAAAATTAGCTCCCTTTGCCCAAATGAATGGGCTACCTGTGCCCAACTGGGCTCTTCCTGTCTGGGTTTAGGAAGCACTTGGGACTTCATTTCTTTGATATCTAACCTGGATCTGAAGAGGAACAAGGAAGTTCATGGGCTGTTTCATCAAGGTTCCTGATTGTGGAGAAATTTGCAAACACATTCAGTGGAACTTTATGGTTGACAAGCAGATAACTACATAGAAGCCAGGCATGTGAGAATTCTAGGGTTGTTTGTTTGCGTGCATCCTTGAACCCAGAGCTTTGGACTGGATGCACTAATTTTTGCTTCTGGGAGCCAATTCACATGATTGGATTATAACACATCTTCCATCTGCACAGAAGAGCAGAGATCTGGATTAACTGAGAAATGAGATCAAATACTGTTGCATAACTCATCTCCTAGCTATTTCATGCAATCATTACTCAAGCTACTTAAGTGGAAAAGGCCAAGGAAGCATACTCAACTGTTTTCTCCATCAGTAGTTCTAGACAATGTTTTGGCAGGAATAATGAAGAAGAGGAGGCCAATTATTAAGGCAGCTGTTGAATCTGTCGCAAACCCTCGGTATCTGAGAAAAGATTTAGTGCTTCATTTCAGCAACAAATATCAGAACGTGAGAAAAAACATTGGAAGTTTCGCAGCAATAACATCAGATGTTAACACACTTTGCTCGTATTTTGGGAATCTTATATATTTATCTTGATTTATCTTGAGTTTTGTTATTATACTATAGGGGAGGGCTGCATAGCTGAGGCCACAAATCTGGCCATGATGGGGCCATGCCAGGCCCACCCCTACTATATAGGTTGCCACTGGTGAGAAACTAGAATCCAGTGGTTCAGCTAGATTAGCTCACCTCAGGCAGTGCACAGCTTCACGAGATTAACCAACAAAACCCCATTTGGTTGAGGCTGATCTCATGACCTGAAAGCATCTCACACATTTGCTTTCTCCACTTCTGGAAGAACAAAGGAATGCTTTATGTGCACCAATTGAGCAAGAAGAATTCACAGCTCCACTGGATTTTTAGATGCTGCTCTGGGCAACCTGCAATATTAAAGAACTCCTGCAAATACCCTTTGCTTGTTTTGGGCTCTACCTGTTTTTGCTAGAGAAAGAAGCATGTAATGGTTCTTACTGGCTGGACTAAATGAAGCACTGTATTCACCCTGGTGCTCTCCAAATGGTTTTGACAACTCCCAGATACGTAGCCATTGACAATGCTGGCTGGAGTTTGGGGAAGGCTGCTTTAAGACACGGCATGACAAGGTGGCAGTGCTGCAGTGGAAAGGCCACTTAATGGTTTTGAAAAATCCTATAGTTGCATTAATTTCTGGTTTTGTAACTGTTTACAATCATATTTTAAAATAATGACAACCGTACGCAAGAACTGAAATTAACCAACTCATGACAATATTTCAAACTCACTCAAAGAATATTTAATCTTTATGCTTCCAGCACTGCATCTTAAATCTAATGGCTCAGTTGAAGAACAGTCCTGATGGGGAATGTCTTCACTGAAGATTAATAATGTGGTTTCACTAAAGAAATGTAAAGCAATAGCATGAGGTTTACCAGTAAGTGTAAGATTAGCTTTTGTCAGATAAAATGACATTCATGTTAGAAAACTTCAGGGTTTGTAGGAGCAATTATTTCTTTGACCTGATGTAAGAGCTTCTTCATCATGGGATCATACTGAGCCCCACACTTTGAACCACCTGTCTGGTGTTCCAGTCACTAGTAAGACTCTCTAACTGAACGAGCAGAGGGTGCCATTTTGTCATGGCAATGGAGAGACTTCATTGCAACCAGTGCTTCTCCAAGACCTGGGTGCCTCAATTCTGGAAGCAAGGTCTGGATGTTGGTGTCAAAGAAGTTTGCTTGCTGGCTCTCCCTTTGATAATAAGAGTATAGGATAGAGGGGGAAAGGCTATAGTGCTCTTAACTGTCTTTTTCCATATCTGAGGTCTGACAAAAACCGGAGCGATCCGGTAGAACTGCTGAGATTCTGACACTACCCTTGTTTCACCAATTGAGTTTTCTCAGATGTTATTTTTATCAAATAGAAGGTTCCATTAGGAGCTCTAAGGGATGGATAGCAGAGACATCATCATCCACCCTCTCAAGAAATTGCAAAAGAGATTTGAGGGTGCCGTGATACAAAAGAATAAGCAGATATTTTGTGCTTAATGAGCTAATCTGAAATGCCCATAAGGAACAGGTATCATGGCCAGGCTCACATGAACTATTCTGTTCAGGTTCTTCTAATCGCAAGTGTTGCCATGGGAACTGTAGACTTTCCAGAAGTAAATGTAAATAATGTCTGCAAACGAAATCAGCAAAGGATATTCATATGTCCTTAATCATATTTATTAATATATGGAAATAAGCCAAACACCTGAATGAACTCTCAGTTTTCACACAAAACTTCACATTGCAAATAGAACATAAAGGATATTTGCAGTGGGACTACTAAAGCCTGTAAGAATTAAAAGCTCAGTTAGGTATTTTGAGGGAAATTAAAACAAATGCTAAGTGTAAACAGAGACATATGGGATGCAACAGGATCTAGATTGCAAGAGAAAAGGAAAAGGGCTGTTTATATATGTAAATGTATTTATTTATTTAGAATATTTGTATGTCGTCCTTTTGCAAAAGCCTCAGGACGGCTTACATAAATATATGGACTGTAAGAAATGCAGCCTTCTGTGTTTATCGGCAGAGGCTGGATAGAATATGCTATAAAAATGATTTGCTTTAATGTAGAATGCTACATCTTCACATATAGTTCTGGACTTCAGGGGAACATTACAGCAGAGTAAAAACAATCACGCTTTTTCACTACCAGAAAATGGAGTTCCTGCTTTAACAAATACCTGCCCCTGAGTGACAAAGAAGGGCAAATATATACACATGGTAAAATATGTAGACGAATCTGTTAGGATCAGTGTCTGTTATCTGATATAACAGAGAGTCAATGTGGTCTAGTGGTTAAGAGTGCTGGACCGAGACACAGGAGATTTGGGTTCTGGTCCCTCCTCCGCCAGGAAGCTCACGGGAAGACTTTGAGCCAGCCACAGACCCTCAGCCTATCCTACCTCATAGAGTGGTTGTTATGAGGATAAAATGGAGAGGAAGTGAACCTTATAAATTGGGTGGAGCTTCTTGCAAGAGGAATAAAAAATGGGGTATAAATGTAATATGATGAACAGTACATGGCTAAGCCCATTTACTTGGGTGACATTTACTATCTATAATAGAATATGAATATTATGTGATATGACCAGTTCATTCAATTCTTAGATCGTGGACCATATCAGTAGCACCACTATAAGTGCTCTGCTTTATAATAGGCAAAGATCATATGCTTCCCATATTGTTCTTTGCTTTTGCTTGGAAGAGCATAGGTAAAAGTTGATACAATTTTAAAGGGCTGATTCACCGATTATTTTTTGAAAACACTCCAATGGGCTTTTTGCTTTCCAAAGGCCCTTAAATAATCCTCAAGGATTTAGACACATTGAGATTGCTAAATGCACTGATACAGCTGTTGAGAACAACTAGATGAAGGAAAGATGGATTCTCTAACTGAGAGAACGCATAGCAGTAAAAGGTAACAAGCATACCTTGTTGCTTTCATGCTCTCTGGAAACAGCCCATAAAAGCCATCAGGTGAGATATGAGGGAAAATAGTGATTGGATTTGTTACCTTTGTATGCTGGAGCAAACCGTATGATAGGGAAGTGGAACCTGGTACCCCATGGGCAGAATTCAGCTCAGTGAAGGTGAGCCATGCCAGCTGGTCTCTAGTGGAATAGTCGCGCTATCCCCACCACTTTAATTTAAAAGTGGCTCTTAGGGCAATACGGCTTGGAAAGTTCTCAGTTTAGAAATAATAAGAGCAAGAAGGTACACAGTGAATATTACAAATGGGACCATAGTCATTTCTCTGTTTCCTCTCATGCAAAGTTAGAAATTCCTTTAGCTAAGTTGCCATAAAGCAATCTGGAAAGTTATGAGACTTCCCAGCCGGGGACTTGACTCAGTTAGGGAAAGCAGATAATAATATAAGGGAAGAGAAAATTGGTAGAATCTGCCCCATTTACCCTTGTCCAAAATATAATGCTTTTTCAGGCCATCTGGCTGCAATGTTACACTGCCCTTTTTGACAATGTATTTTCTCACTGTCGCCTCTCAGAATTATAAGTTTTTTACACATACTGCCAACTGCCCTCAGTGAACATGAGGATGACAAGCACACCACATATAAAATCATTTAAACTGTGATGATTCTTAGTTTCTTAATCCAAGCACTCAAAAATAGTGCTATTCAGTGACTGTCAAGAGACTAGATATTGCCCTTTTTCTGGACACACCCTAAATGGCAGTTTTGGAAATGATGGAGAAAGTTAGGTGTTAGCAAGAGTCAGAAGTAAAAAAAACCCCAACAACTTCTGAGGATTTCTACACCAACCCTAAATGGGTTTAACTTGAAGTTACAAGTAGAACTGACTTCCACATAAGGATTGTAACTTTAGATACATGTGAATGTATTGGAGATATAGCTTCTTAGGGGTTTTTTTTAAGGAAGGAAATAAATGCTTCTTTAAATCCATCCGTCCTCATTAGTACTCTCATTGTGAGGCTGAGCACAGATGACAAAGACTGACGGGATAACTCTAGGACATGGATTAAGCACTTTTTCCCTACCAAAGTCTGGATTCCCACATATAAAACTGTTTGGGTCTGTTTCAGCAATGCATGGAACCAGAGCTCAAAATGACCAAAATGACAGATGTGATGCTTATTTTTTGTTTATACTACAGCAGGAGGGGAAAATAGTTGCATCAGGCATTCTGCTTTCTCAACTTGCACAAGTTTCCTTCCATCAGAGCTGCAACAGGGAGCCATAGCAGGGAAGAGTAAATAATACAAATAACCAGATACACCTGGGGAAAATCGAGAGTTTAAAAAAAGAAAATTCTATTTGATTTCCACAGTCCTCCAACAGAACCAAACATCAGCACAAAACTGCTGAGAATGTAAAGCAAGAGTAGAATTACAAACACATATACAAAAAGGGCCTGGAGGTCCTTGTTTGACCTATAGGCTGAGGTCTCAAGCAGTTCTCAGTGAAAGAAGCCTTGTAAAACTCATTATTTATCTGAAGAGTGTTGGGTTGGGTTTTAAAGCATAATATACACGGTCAAAGGTGTATTTAAAGTTTTTCTTATCAGCGTATGGTTGATAATTAATTGGAAATAAATGTTATACAAGGATAACACTATGAAAACTGATATATGGATTCTTAAAGAATACTATAATATTAAGTAATGAATTTTGAGATGGGAGCTGTTTTCTCAAAGATGGGATTTAGAACCAAGTTTATCTGCTCTGAAAGATACATGATTAAGTCCTTTTGTATATATGAAGGTGAGTCAAAAATTATCTGCACTCTGGTTATATTAAAACTTCTGTTGGCCACACTGTCTTATCAGCACTTTCCATTCAAGACTAATCTATACAGTCACTGCTGTGCAGGAGTGAATGCGTAACTGTGGTGGGAGCAAAAGTGTATGCCCCACTTGTTATTTATATGAAATAAGAGCAGTGTGCAGTGATTCATTTTTTGGGGGTCTGATGGCGTGCCTGGTACTGTTATTTATCAAAGACTTTGTGTGCAGTATGGAGAAAGTGTTTTGCCATGAAGAAGTGTGTATGAATGGACAGAGTTCAAGGAAGGTTGCATCAAGAAGAAGCATGAAGGAGAATGTCTGCAGGAGCATGTCCACACACTTCTGCCCACACTGTTGATACTCTGCAAAAACTTGGTTTTGAGGTGTTAAAGCATCCTTCCCATAGTCCTGATCTTGCTCCACTGGACTTTCACCTGTTTGGTCCCCAGAAAGCAGCCCTATGAGAATGAAGATTCACTTCTGATGAAGAAGTGGAGACAGAGGTACATCCGTGGCTCGCAGCTCAGCCTAAAACATTTTTTAATGAGGGAATATGAAAGCTTGTTGACAGATGGACAAAGTGTATTGAAAAGCAGATTATGTCAAAATTATGTATTTGTCTTTTCTAAAAGTTAATTAAAATAAATTCTACAGCCAGAGTGTGGATAATTTTTGACTCACCCTCACCATGTGGGATTTTTGAGGAATTGAGTACAAATGCATAGTACTGTGAACAATGAAATAATTTTGTGGAATGTGTATATACATGCTCTGAAATTGTGAGGAAATCAGCTTATTAATATTCAGAAACTCACCTATGCCAACATATCAACCTACCAGCTGACAGGATTAGAGCTGGGTAAGAAACTTCAGTTAATATTTTAACTGATAACAAGAAATATTAAGAAATGCTGCTTCCTTTTTAAAATTATAAGAAGATACAGGAGTTTGAAGCTACCGTTTCTTGCTTCTAAGGGACTATTGTTTCAGTCCACATGGTTGTATTTTCATATGCTTTATTGAGATCATTTAATAAAAATGGGGAAAGGATCTAATCATTTTTCCATTACTAATTCTTGTCAGCACAAATCTGAAACTGAACATAACCTGCAGCAATTCATATTATACCCTTAGGCATGTTTAAATCATTTCAGATAGTTAACTGGCAAACAAGAATTTCCTAAATACAGAATCATAGTTTAGTAGCATTTAACAGAAGTAAAATCCATTATAGCTGTAGAATATATACAAGCTTGTTCTTCAAGCTAGACCAGTGGTTTTCAACCTTTCCACAACTGGGGACTGGCAAAAACAGGGAAACCACCTTGGGGACTTCTGAGGCAGAAGCAAAAAACACCATACACATCTTACAGTATTCTGTGCTTTAGTATCCAAAAGCACGGAATACTTTGCCAGAAAGAAAGAAAGAAAGAAAGAAAGAAAGAAAGAAAGAAAGAAAGAAAGTAAGTTCCCCAACACAACCAGAAACTGAGCAAGAAAAAATGCCAGCAAAAGAACAAAATACTGAAATTGGTGCAGTGTGGGTCCCAGCCAGCTCCCACCAAGCCATCTCTCCTCTTCCTGACCGCCCCCCTCCCCAGTGGCACCAGTGCACCCCCTACAAATGCAATGCTAACCAGGGAAGAGGTGGTAGAGAACAGCCAGCCCCAGCACTGGTCTATGGTGAGCAGGTTGTGCCCCACTCCCCCCCACAGACCGGCAGGAAATCTCCTGCAGACCAGCACTGGTCCATTGCCTGGTGGTTGAAAACCAATGTGCTGGACTACAGCATGTTCTCTATAATACCTGTTTTATTCCATACTTTCAAAAAATACGTATCAAGAAAATTGCTAGGCATTTCCTATACTCTGTTAATTTCAGGAGGGATCCTATGGCCTCTAGGCATCACCTGGGGAGCTGGAGGATAGGCTGGATATTCACCTCTAGTGTTGGAGATAGCATCTAGGGAAAATGCAGAGCAGGAAGTAGGGGAAGGTGAGATTGCTTCTACATAGCACACTTCCCACTCTGTATTGGATGGTCATCCTCCAAGTTTGGAGGTGGATGATCATCTTAGTAGGATTGCACTCTCTATAAAGGTTTTTTGTTTTGTTTTGTTTTGTTTTTTTAGTACCACCAATCTGGAATCATCTGCAAGAGACACAGAATGCAAACACCTTGAAATTGTACAATTGTACAAACTGTATCAACTCACTCTGAAAAAAGTGATGCCCAGCCAGGGATGAATCCAGGATCTCTCGTAAACCATAATAGAGCCATTAGAAAGAATAGGACAAGGGTGATCATTTCTGGGTAGCTGCAAAAGAAGCATATTAGCATGACCCTTTGAATCTGTTTGCTTTGATATCATTGTAATATTTTCCCTTCTGCCTTACCTTATTGGTCCGAGTTTCTTGTATTCCTCTTCAATCACCTGGGCCGAAGCTTTTTCTCGGGCTGACTTCGTCTTGCCACACTGGAACATTTCCTTTACACTGAAATGAAAATAACTAGTAAGTCAAGGTATCCATGCCAGATTATGCATTTCTTTTCTTGTGATGGGAGCCAAAGTGGTATGGGTTGGAGTTGTTTGTTTGTTTGCTTGTTTTCATTTTACTTTCCCTTTGAACAAGAGTTCCCATCCTTTCCATTCCATATCACAAACTACTTGGGAGATTTCCCTCCATTTCAAGAGAGTCCTGCCATATGGGCATCTCTTTTGAAATAACTGATCACTAGGGATGTGTGAGGAATTTGCTTTGGGGATGAGAATCCTCTGGATTCCCATGGCTTATTTCCCCTCTCCAGACTCCTGCCTGCTTTCTTGTGGCACTGAGTCCAGCTTGGTATTGAGTGCACAAGGTATTCACACAGGTGCTTGCCAAGAAGTCATCGGACTTTCAACTTTCAAGTCATGGGACTTTCAACTTCCAAGTCATGGGACTTTCAACTTTGTTTGTGCTGCACATGCTGAAAAGGAAGGTTGCCAGGAACTGCAAAGGGGGTTTTGCTAGTGTTCATGAACATTTGTAGACTTCTCAGATCACATATTTCTTTGGGTCTAGACCATAATCTCTGGAACAAAAGTAACAAATACTTTTATCAGGTTTGAAAGCTGGACAGTGAAGAAGGCTGTCAGGAAGAAAACTGATGCATTCGAATCATTATGGTGGAGGAGACCTTTGTGAATATGTTGGATGAACAGAAAGATAAATAGGCCTTAGATCAAATCAAACCAGAATTTTTCCTGGAAAAAATTGACAAGACTGAAGCTGTTATACTTCTGCCACTTCATAAGAAAGCAAGATTCATTGAAGAAGACAATCATGCTGGAGAAATTCACAGGCATCAGAAGAGGAAAACCAACTGTGAGAGAGAACAATGCCACAAAGGAAGCTACAGCCTTGAATTTGCAAGAGTTGAGCAGGGCTGTCAAGGAAAGGACATTTTGGAGCATATGCATCCATAGGTTACCATAAGTCACAGGGACAACCTGATGGCATATATCAAGGACAATGGTGCACTGGCGCTGTGGTTTGCCAGAGTGAGCACATCATTTATAGTCACTCTAAAGAGCATAGGTATACAAAAGGATGGTAACCAAAATACCCGAAGGAGTATTAGTACTAGTACTAGTACTAGTTTGCCCATAAGTAGAACCCTGTACTAGTGTGCCCATATCTTCAGGTCTTCACACAAAGCAGCAATGGGCAGAAATAACAGTTCCAGTTTTAGTAGCAAGAAGAATGGTGCAGCCACTGGGGGTGGAAATTGGGCTAAAAGTTGCCCCTCTGTTTTCAAGGTGAATGGATCCTTTTCAACTGATGGTGCATGACCAAAGCGTGGCAACAAACTACCATTGTCTGTCACTTCCGTGTGGCTGACCTAGCGTGGCAATGACAGTGGCCACCATATGGTGTTGGGGAATTAGCACCTGGAACCCCAGAAGATTCTCACTCCTGATTTATTCTCATGTTTGCCCTTCCCCAGCCGGAAGAGGGCTTCTTGGATGAGGCATCATTGCCCAGGTGGCTACTCTGTAGCCCCTCCTCTCTCAAGAACTGCTTGAGGTTCTTCAAGAGCTGTTGTGTGCCCTTCAAATGCTTGAACGCTTGATACTGCTGCGATGCTTCTTTCAGGCATTTTAACTGATTCTGCCCCATCTGCTTGACATCTCCTGTACTTATGCAGACAGTGCAGTTCATGGTCATATCCTTTCTTGAGTCTTCATGTTGCTTGCCCTCACATCAACCTATACTTTCCACTGTCTTTTATTGCAGCTAGGTCGACTTAAGTGTAACTGAATCAACACATATTATTCGTCTGTTTCTCTAAGCCTTTGCCCCTCCATGATTTTCCTGTGACTCTTCTATATTTTAAGCCCCTTTGAGTAGCCACTTGTCGTACCTGCAGGTTTTATATATATATATAAACACCAAGTATAAAGAAGGTACTGTATAAATAAAGTAATAACAGTACTTACTTGAAACCCAGGAAAAGCCACTGGAGCCAAACCCAAGCAAGTAACAAAATAATAATAGTGATGGGGATGGAAAGAATAAACCAGGATCCAAAATTGATGCACTGGCAACCTGGATACCGTCTGAATAATATAAACAAACAAAACAAAAGAAAAGAATACATTGGTTAAATGTTGGATGGCATTTGAAAAGGAAGATGGTCCCTGGCATCAGCAGCATCCAACGACAGCTCTGAAGAAGGATGGTAGCTTTATCAGGAATGAAGATGGATTGTATAGAACTATCCCAAATTTATATCTGAATGCATTTCTACACATTCATGTAGCCCCTTGCTTGGTTGCCCTTTGAAGTTAATTGGAATATCTTTGTTCACCATCTTTCCTATGATAGAAGCATGGTTGTTTGGGTTAAGAGACATGGTCTTCTCAATGGCCACAACCATGTTATGGTATATTTTGCCCCATGAATTACTACTCCTCTCTAATCTTCCATTTATTACTGAAGTCTAGTTTGGGGAAATGGGTGGAACTAGGCTTTTAGCCAGTGAGATGATGTTTCATCTGAAGATTGTGTTTTATCTACTCTGCCTGGTTTTGCCGTGTTTTGTTTGGTTTTACTGGTTTACTGACTTTGCAACTAACCTATCATAACATAAGTGGTTTATTGTGATTTTAATCATTGTGACCTGTCCTGAGTAAAGCATTTTTATCAGAGTAAAGTGGAGTAAAGACGTATGCACACAGCTAAAATAATGCTGTAACACTGGCCTAGTTTGCTGAATTATTTATCTTACTCTCTTGTTTCATCTGAGTGTCCCTTCCTTGGTATTACATACCTTTGGGAGAGAAGAAGACCCATTATTGCCACAGGCATTGAAGAAGTGTCTGGAAGTATGAAGGCAGTGACTTTTCCTCTTTGAAGGTTTATTTTAAAATAAATAATGCTACATGATATAATAGAAAGGATATGGGATGTGAACTAGCCTTTTAGTTATGGGGACAAAACTAGGATGAGATTGTCAGAAAACAAGTCTTTCAATACCAAAGCACCATCTCTAACATGGTCACTTTCAAAGATTGCATTTCATATTGGCTAAAATGTTAGTTTTCTATCTGCCCAGCTCTTCTTAATATAAAATACGCATAATCTATGTTTTTACCAGTATGTATGGCTGATGAATGATAATTATTAATAAATTATAATACACTCGTAATGCTTGTATTATGTTGGGTTTGCACCAACAATTCTAGTAGGTTCTGAATTTTAGCTTTGAACGACAACAAGCTCTGTCATAACAAATCTTCCTATTTACATTAGTTTTTTTACACTGACAATGGCGTGAAATCACAGAAGATATTAATAGAATTCTATTTGTTTTTCATGAAAAACAGACACTCCACGGGATGCTGTTAGTGTTTATTGCAAGAGCAGCTGCAACCATCTTGAATTACCTTTGGTTGTCTGAATCTATCCAGTATCTGCTAAATTCTGTTCTTCTTAAGTCATTGATTGTGCTCAGTTAGTTGAACAGTATAATGTTTGATTGATATGATTTACTGCTACACAGTTTTAAAAGAGGCCTTCTTCCCATTGCTGCAACAGGACTAGCCACTTATAATTAAGTATAAACCAAAACTTAATAGTAGGAGGATCTTGTGAAGGAACTAGAAACAGAGGAAGTGGCACAATTACCTGCGATGCTAAGGCAAACACATGCAGGAATCGCATAAAAATTATTATTATTATTAAAGACTTGATTAATCATTAATTAATCAATTAATTAAGTCTCACCATCCCAGAACTGGGATTTCAAAGCCTGAGCCCCCATCCCATCCCCTTGCACTCAGTGCAGGAGGAACCACCCTGGTTGCATCCCTGAAGTCTCAACTGGGCCATGGAGAAGATGAGAAAGGAAGCCAGAGTTGCAAAGGATTCTGTACAATGCATTGGCTGAAGACACTGAGGCCAGTCTTTAAAACATAGAAACTAGCGCCTTGTGAATAATAGTATTTATAAGTATTAACTTTAGAACAGTTGCATGCCTATGACATTAAAGCATAAAATGAATGGCAATGGTATTTTACAGTCCTCTCTTTAATGGGACATAGAACCTTCCAAGGCAGGGATATAATAGAAATAGTTTTTGGGAGCAAGCAAAATTCTAGCCAGAGGCTTAACGCACGGCAAGGACCCCTGAGTGATGCGGCACTCTCTGCATGGCAATAGCTTCAACTCAGGGTAGTTTAAAGCGAGACACAGATCAACAGCTTAACAGAGAGATTTTCTATAATAAGAAGAAGTTTCATTAAGAGAAAGGCTTTTTGGATATTATTTAACTCTCACTGGGACAAGGAATTCAGGCTTGATCTGAAAGTTATAAAACAAGCATGGCAACTTCTGTGGCTGGGCCAGCACTTTCGGAGGAAGGAGAGCAAAATCTATGTAATTGGGAATGTTGAAATAGCCTGGCGTTCCAAGATGAATTGGGGGGGAAATACAAGGTTAGGCAGCAGCTTGTATGCAATAAGCTGTGAGAAATGGTTGCAAAAGAAGAATCTTTGTCTGTACAGACACTATTTTTAGGGCTGTGCATGTGCAGAAAATTACATTGGAACCCACCTTGTTGGCTTGGATGGATAGCGGATTGCCTCCACCCAAAGATTCAGATTAACATCGCTTCACCTTGGATCTGAGGCAGCTGGTTGCCTCATTTCATTTTCTGAAGCTCATGTCTTCCCCATTGACTACAAGATGAAAAATCAACAAATGCCTATAACTAATTATTTTGGGGAAGGTTTGGATGAAATTTTCAGGTAAAGTAATCTGAGGGGATTAAGTCTGTCAAATTTCAGAAAAATATCAGACAACTATCAAGTAGATATGTCATGAGTAGAGCCGGCTGGAGCCGGGGGTCAGACTAAATGGCCCAGGAGACCCCTTCTGACTCACTCTGTTTCTATGTTTCTGTTTCTATGCAAATTGATTTTTAAAGGAAGAATTCTTGATGTCTTTCCTAGTCTTTTTTGGCCAGTTTTATGAATATGACATATAATGCAGATATGCTCCTAGATACACTGCAAATTGCAGAAGGATATGTGCTGGGGATAGGGGAAGGATTGGTAAGTAAAAGAAGAGTATTGGCAAAGTCATTCCCTGTAAGTTACAACTTACAGTCACAGAACTACACCTTCTACCCTTCCCTTCCATTGTCCCTCTGTGTGGCATTTTACACTTATGCAGAGCTTGGGAGAAAGCGTTAAAACAATTGTAATCAAATAATTTTAAAGAACACCTTAGAAGTCTTCTTAAAGCTCCAAGGTAGTTCAGAAACCTGAGAGCTAGTTGCTTTCTCTCAGAATATTCCAGTCCAAGCCACCTCTGATTTTGAAATGGTCTGAATGTTTCTGAGCAAGAAATCCTTGCCTTGGAAGGTACACATGTATTGTTCCTCCCACATACCCCACAATGGGGAACAGCTGCCTATTTACTAAGTCTGAGAATGATAGTTGAGAAAGCTCCTTAATCAGCTGGTGTACAAGAGGACATAGCAAGTGACAAAAGGTGTTCTGCTCTCCTCTTTCATTTCTCACAATTTTATTTTTGAAATGTTGGATCTTCTCCAGCAGTACTTCTAGCCAACACTCCTGCTGCATGACATTTCCTGTAAAATGTTTCTTTGCATTGGGAGATTTAGCATGGCTTTAAGATATAGTCTAAGCTAAGGGTCTCTAGGGAATAGATGCTCACTGGTACAACTCAGCTTGGACATATTTGCACATCACATTTAGCAATCCTATCTTAATAGGAAATGAATGAGAAACTTGCCAGTACACACAGCGCGTTGAACCCTGCTTAGCTCCTTCTTTCATATCATGGCTGAATCTGAGATAGTGATTGGGTGCACCTCAGCAAGCAAGGACTTGTAAAAGGACATCAAATGCTGGTTTGATGTTGATATGATGGCTTTTGGGAGGCATGCAACAACAATTATTATCATCATCGTCATTATTAATTTCATTTCTATACTGCCTCATAGCCAAAGCTCCCAAAGTCCAAATGCAACAGACACCTGTCCCTTCCTGGAGATTTTACTGACATCCCTCTCTGCTTTGTTTACCTGCAATTGCAAAGTAAGGAGCAAATGGTTTGTGTGTGCAAGCTAAGATGTGTAAAGAATCCTCGTTGTGGGTGAGAATCCATCATATTCCCTCGACTCAGTTCCCTGGATGCCAGCCCTCTTTCTCCCAGCCTGATTTGGCACTGAGCCTACGCAACACACTGAGTTTGTGTGGGTGTCTGCCAGGAATCAAGTCCATCCACCTGCTACATGCACATGGCTTGCAAGCTTTGAATGTGTGCAGAATTTGCTACATAAGGTTGCTGGGTTGTGCAAAGAGGAGTGTTTGTGAGTGTTCACAGACTTCATCGTGGTTTGGCTTACTTCCTAAGCCAGGGCTGAGCATTAGAAAAACGGCCAAAAACCAGAAGTGAGCTGGATTCCATGATGATTATCATACCTTTGCACAAGCACTTTCCTGGTTCACATCATGGTTTGTTAAGCAAGGCTTCCTGGCTTAAAGTCCATGCAAATTTAGCTCCAGTGGGATGGTAGCACTATCTCAAACTCAAAAGCTGAGAATCAGTGTTAACCAGTCCCTATACTATTGTGCTGCTCAGTAAAAGAAGGTCACCAAGACTGAGACTCATGATGACCTAAGTATAATTGCATGATCATCATTGCCTGTCTTGGACTACTCCAACAGCAGGCTCTTTCTCCAACTTCCTTTTCAGTGACACATACATTGAATATCTTTGACCTTAGAAACTTGAACTATCACACGGATCTATACCTGCAGAACAAAGGCCAGATAATGTGTTTTCTAAGAACTCAGCTCCCTCTTATCTTCACCTTCTTGCATGGTTGTTGCTGTGCAATCTGCATTACTAACATTCTGTACTGGAAGTGATTCATACCTGCAATATTGATAATGAAAAGTATTTTATCTGGATAGGTGTAGGGTTAAGATTAGCACTTTGCAATAGGGGTTTTTTTAATCTTAAGAACAGTCTTTCTTTCTTTCTTTCTTTCTTTCTTTCTTTCTTTCTTTCTTTCTTTCTTTCTTTCTTTCTTAATTGCTTTAAACCTGCCCTCCTGAAACATGCTAAGAATGGCAAAACTAATTCATAGCCAAATGAAACACAGAAGAGCCATAGCCTAGAAAACTATAGACCCCAAAGATAATAATGTTAGTGTACTATTAATATGTATTTATTTGGGGGAGTGCCATCTCCCTTCTGCTGAAGCTAGCTTAGTTCATTAGCTTCATATCTGCTACCCTAATGTTGGTTCAACTGTCTCCAATCCAAATAATTTTCATGGTCCACTTTTGCTACAATTTCTTTCGTAGCGCATTTCATTCTACCCAAATTGTGTACAGGATTCTGAAATATTGCATTGGCTGGCCATTGCAACTTAGGGAATGTGCATCGACCTAAAGAATTGTCATGGCTGGTATGACCCAATCCTGATTGATTTGTCTGTACTTCTACACCTGTAATATGGTAAATAGTTCTGTAAGTGGGGAGTGGGGAAGGATCCTTTGGGTGGGACAGATGAGAGCAGCAATGGCTAATCCGTGCTCCCCAATATTTGGGGACTGACTATTTTTAAACAAATACTTTCAGCAGAATAAGACATTTAGCAAATGACCCATTTAATTTTGCCAACTCATTAGTGTTAGTAATGGAACGGTCTATAAAAGCTTTAAATAAATAAAGTAAACAAAAAGTAAAAGGCCACCCTTGCAGTGACGTGCTTGAGGAGCTCCCAGAAGTATCTGGCTTATTGTTCTTGGGAAAAGAAAGCCAGACTTGGAGGACCATTGATCTGATCCAATGAAGCAAAGCAGTTCTTACATTCTGAAACATCTCTGTATTAAAACAGTTGTGTTCTCCAGTGCAGAAATGACAAGGGTCATAGAATCATAGAATCTTAAAATAGTAGATTTGGAAGGGGCCATGAAGGCCATCAATTCCAACGCCCTGCTGTTGCAGGACACCAAGTTACACCATCCCACTCAGATGGCTGTCCAGTTTCTTTTTGAATGTCTCTAGTGTGGGAGAGCCCACCACCTCTCTGGGCAGCTAGTTCCACTATTGTATTGCTCTTCCTGATGTCCAGTCTGACATGACCAAGTTCTCAGTGAAACCAGTGGGATTTCTGGCTAAACATGTCCAGGCTTGGGATGGAAGCATACAGGGTGTTAAAGAAGTTGTAGATTTGCTCTACAATGCTTATTCCCTTTCATTGTTTGTGATGAGGTTTGACAGCTTTAATGTGTCCTTCCTTATTGATTATATGTATGTTATTTATTTTATTGCTTTAAAGTAACTATAGCGTATGCTTATGTGAAAAATTAAGTTCTCAATGATGCAATTTTTAACAAATTGAAGTGGCGGACAGACAATATTTCTGGCAAACAGAATTATTTTTACCAGATCAGAAATACTGAGAGCACATTCCTTGATTCCATGACTGTGGTAAATTAGTGCAAAATTGCAGATACTTAAGAAATAACATGAATTATATGTCTTCAGTTGTGAACAAAGTTTTTTGGAGCCAAACTGTATTGCCATCTTTTATGATATGATTCTAAGACAGCATCATTGATTTCAATGGGTAAAGATAAAAGGAAAACATTACAGCATCATTGATTGTATGCATTTGTTAGTCTGCATTCTGGTCTGGGTATTGTATTTGAGCTATCATTCTGCATCTCTTATGAATATTTTATTTTTACTGAGGTTTGGTAGATAGATGTATATAGATCCCTGATCCTTACATTAAATATCCTTTCCCTTGGCTTCAGATTCCTGCTTGTATGATAGAAAGTACAGCATGATTGGGTGAATTAAATGTTTTATATTAAGTCTCACTGATTTCAAAGGAGATATTTAAGCACCTGGCACCGCCCCCCCCCCATTTGGAAAAAAAAAGTGTTCTGTAGAATGCTTAACTCTATCTGGATCTACCTGTTATTAAGTGGTTAACATCAAAATTAAAATGAAAAGGAACTCATAAAACTTGGATATAAGGGCTAGATAAGTGTATGGGATAGCAATTATCATAAATGTATTGGCATTTTGCTTTTTGCTCCTCTATCTAACAAGGAATCAATGTGTAAGAGGCTGTGTTGATGATTGCTAATCATGCGAATCACTCACATGGAAGATTGTGCAACCCTGTAATGAGGCCAAATGACCTACAAAACCATCATTTAGCTAAGCCTTTTCAGATGGCAGGTATGCATAAGGACATTAAAAAGGGGCATTTCTCAGTGAAAGCTGTCCTAGGCGAGGGAAGTTCTCATGCTTGCGAGCTGGGCTTAAGCCACTGGTCACACTACAACAGAAAGCCAATGTAGGCTCCAAATTCTGAGGTCCATTGCTGTATCCCAAGGGGAAAAGAAAGCATTAATTGGGAGAAGCTCAGCATATAGGCATAAAATCAAGTACACTCAAATTAATAAAGGCCAGAAATTTTAAAAAGTACTAATTAGATTAGGAATAAAGCAAGTGATATGGTCTCTTTTCTTACGAATTGAATTGCTCTGCAAAAATCAAGTTGGTTGACGTTCCAGTGATGGTAGTGAGTCCTCCGATAGTAGATGAATAAGCGATACACAGGCACATGACTTTACATATCATATGGTCCCTTTGGTTTCGGTATGTTCTTCCTGTTTGGCTTATCACTGGCTTCTGCTTAAATATGAAATAAAAGTAATCAGCATGTTTATATTGATCATAGGTAAAACCCAACCCATTCCAGTTTATGCTTGAAGGGAGAGATTTTTGCAAGCCTTCTGGGATAGTTTTTCTAACTGTCTTTTTAGTGAGACTTATGGAAGGATAATGTTGGCCTTCGTGACATGCATTTTTTAGAGAATCAATATATATGTCTGTACTATCTGTCTAGTATGCAGTTTCAGCAGTTCTGATCACACTGCAGCTGAGGGCAGGATCTTCTTTAGGCTGTGGAAGGAAGGAAGGAAGGAAGGAAGGAAGGAAGGAAGGAAGGAAGGAGACAAAGAAAATGGAAAGGCCCTACCAAGATCCAGAAGAAATTACTAATGAGATATAAAACAAGTATGGGTTTCTGAGACTCCATATGTTTTTTCATTTCATGAAAGAATATTGTAATTTAATCCATGATGCAACTCTTAGCACTCTCAATTGCAAAAGAATGGCTTGAAGCCAGAGATTAATTGAGTTTATCTGAGTTTCATGATAAAGGTTCATGAGTTATCATTATAGAACATGGTCAAGATTAGAACTACCGTGCTTGATGCACATTTCGATTATGTCCAGGGCTAAATGAAATCAAGAAGCAGATGCAGATAAACATGGGGTGAAGCTGGTGTAGAGGACTGGAGCATGAACCTTCAGTGAGAAGGATTAACAGTTGGAGAACAAGTCAAGAGGCAGGGCTCAAGAAGGACCAAACCTGACAGTATGCTACTATTTATGTCCTGTTTGAGGGCTTTCCTTTGGCACTGGCTACTGTGGGAAGAGAATGCTGGACTAGGTAGGCCTTAGGGAACTTAAGCTCTTACCTTTATCATGACCAACTAAAATATCACAGTTATTGTGATTGTTTATGACTTCATGAAATGTTGTTTCATCCTATTGCTGTTCCACAGATTTTGTGTGTGTGCACTGGGGGGCGGGGGGGAGCGGCTTATGGACAAGCACAGCTGCAACTCTTGGATGATCTGGAGACCTTGGACTTGTGACATTTAGGATTGTATTTGAATATTGCTATATTGTAGATTTTGGAATTATTGTGTTACATAACACTTGAGTGTTTTAAAGCATTTTTGGATGATTTGTATTTGATAGGGTGTCAGTCTCATCCAGATTCTCTTCAAGCTAGGAAACATGTGTGTGACTGTATGCATAGCTCACATAAAGTTTCTTATATTGTAATTCTATTCATGTCTTTTCCAAAGCAAGTTCTGGTGATTTCAGTGGGTTAGATGAATTTGTCTAGTTCCATTTTATCCATTTGCGTTCTACCAACATGAAGTTTGTTCTGACCTATTTCTGCATCATTTTCTGATTCATTTTTTTAAAAATCTATGTGATAATTCACATGTACTTTCATGAACATCTCTCCTAGCATACATTTTTTGTACGCACCTTTCCAAATACAGCAGGACCCCCATATCCACTGGCTCGGTTACCACACTTTCAGTTAACTGTGGTTGACCTCAGCCCCAAAGAGAAGTTTTAGAGTGCCGTAAGAGCCAGAGAGAAATTGTAAAGTGCTGTTAAGTGTCAAAGGAAGTTGTAAAATACTCCTTGCTTGAATAGGGCAAGAAAAAAATCATGCTGAGGTAAGAACAAATGAGACTATGGAAAAAAAAAAACACTCCGTATATAGTGTTCACTATTATCCATGGATTCTGCATCTGCTGGAGGAATTGGAATCAATCCACACAGGTATAGATGTCCTGCTGTACCTTCATTTTTATACACACAGTTGCAAATAATGAATTATAACTCCCTTGAAAGAATTCTCTTTCTCCAATATACCATTTTTTGCACATGTTTTCCCAATATATGCATTTTACACACATTTGTTATATTGTGTGTAAGATGTATATATGAATCTTACAGTATAACCCTGTTTGTGCTCATATGTACATTATAAAGAGTGAATTTCATAAGCTACCCTGAAACAACAAACTCAATACTTTTTTATCAATCTTTAAGCCATACTCCCATATGTGGAGATAGGATTGCAACCTTAATCTACTAGATCAATGTCTAAGCATGTACCAATTCCTGAAAACATGATGGGAATGATTTTTGAATACCTTTTCCTTTTCAATGTTGCACACGGTATGGGATGTGTGAGCAGTACCAATGCCGTATCTGGAAAAGAAACTTGCTGCAGTAATTCATTTATTGAGCTTGAACTGATAATTACAAAAATGATCAAGGATATAGATTTTACCCATTAGCTTGATCTGCTTTCTCTTTCCAGTCAACTGCTTCACAATCATTAATACTTTCTAAACAGGGGAAAACAGAATTAGAGAGAAGTTCAGAAAGATGAACATGGAAGGATGAGCAAAGATGAACATGGAAAATGCGAACAGTTCACTGTCTGTGCGTACCATCAAGTTCCAGCGCGTGGTTGGTGACTCCATTTGCATAAGTCATTTCTATGGCATCAGCTTCAGCCTCAGCACTGATGATTTGCTGAGCCACTGCCTCTACAATCGGCATCACCATAGCAGCAGTGGAGGTGTTACTAAGCCACATGGATAGGAAGGCACAGCTGACCATGAAACCCAGGGTGAGCCTGAAATAAGAAACACATCCCTGGATTTCTGCTAGACTGATTCTTCACCATAAAAAGGAAAATGGAACAACCTTTGAAAAAGTGCTCACTGTCGAGAAAACTTCTAACAATTCCTTAGTGTATAACAGTGCTAAACCCACCATTGAAAATCCTTTGCCGCATTGAACAGTTAGCACATCACTTTTAGCCGCTCTGGCAGCCATTGGAACATGAGAAGGGATCATTAGAAGGAATCACTCTAAATCAATGCCATCCCTATGGACCAGCCGCAGTTGTCAAGGGCTTCAGACAGGGCTCTTTCCTAGCCTTGCCTGGGGTTTGAACATGAGGCCTTCTGCATGCAAAACATGTGCTCTGCCCTTCCCTTTCCCACAAGCTTTAGTTACAGAAGCATCAGAGTTCTTATCTCCTTTTTGCCCTTCCTTGCACAGAAACAAGAGAGAATGGAACAGGACAATTCCCCAACAAATACAACAGGGGGAATGTACATTAAGTTACATTGTTTTTATTCTTCTATGTTTCAACTTTCAAACTATAAAGTTGTTTCTCACGTTTTTTCCAATATTCAATATTCATATATTCAATATAATATTCATAATATAAAAGTCAATGGTTTCTACTTTTATGTAATAAAATATTTTACATATGGGAAAAGATGTTTTAATGTGATGTGGTTATAACAGCTACATTCCCTAATTGTTTCATCCCCAAACAAAATTTGTCTATCCCAGTGGAGAAAGAAACTAGGAAAGGCAAAAAAGATCGAGATAGAAGATTCAAAGGAACAGGGTGAATGATTTACTGGGCCAATGCTTTTCAGGTCATGCAACTCCTAATCAATGGAGCTGCTTCAGAAGATCAGTAAGGCAGCCCTGTACACTAGCTCGGTATCTATTCTCCAGTAACTTACACTACATGGCCCTGAAGGAGTCGTGACTATTGGGTAAAGGCAGGAGTTAATGCAAATATGAACATGGACATTCCCCAAAATTGCCATTCCATTGTTGGATATTTTTAGCATGAAATAGCATCTTTGAGGGATGGCAGACATACAGTTGACTCCAATAGTGTATTTTAACAGACTGGGACTAAAGCTGTGTCATCATGGTTTATGATGCATGAAATGCATGGCTCGGTGAACAACTCTCATTGAAATATCCTAAGTTATTACAGTAATCACATTTCAAATTAGCTACTTCTTAGAACTTCAAGGTCAGCTGTTGGCCCCAGCCTAATGAACAGGTAGGACTTGTTTGTACACAGATAAAAAAGACAAGAGTTTCATACAAATCTCATTCCCAGTTTCCGTTTGTGTATGGGGCACTGGCATAAATCGAGATCTACACCCCCAAAATCTCTCCATTGCATTGATCTATTCCTTTTGCATTAGTCAGGCCCAATGTACCAGTGGGAACTGTGCCACAATACCTTCACTGAGTCTATGCTCTTGCTGTATAAGTTTTTGTTTCTCTTATCTTGATTCCTGGCATTTGGTAAGGGGTTGTGAAGTACTAAATCCTAATGATTTAGTTTTGTGGTCTCTTCTACAGGTTCCTGCCTACCTGCAACCTGAACCCAGTAAGCCTTTTGAGGCAGATTCTCCAGCAAACCTATCCAACCTTCTAAACAGATCGCCCCTACAATAATTCCTCTTCCCATTTTCATGGCTAGACTTCATGTCAAGTTCCTTTCTACTGCTGTGTCCTGAAGCATCTCTTCCTATGGAGACCAACAGCTTCCAGTTGCTTAAGCCTCATCATCAGGTCTGGTCGAATGTCAGCCTGTGATGTCATAGCCTTACCAATATGATAAATGGCCCATGATGTAAATGCATTGCATATACCTTTTATCTTCATGCTAAGTGATCCTAGCACAGAAAATTTTTACAAAGATTAGAAAGGCCTTTGGAATCTACATGACTGAAAAGTACTGCATGTGTTAATAACTGCTTAGCACAGAAAGGGCAGGCTTGCTCTAAAAATGCAAAATGACTTTAGAAATTATTTTGATGCTACTTTCTCCATATTGACTAATTACATCTTGCCTACTCTGCAGAAAGTGCTCTTCTATGAAAAGGGCATGGAGAGCTGATTAGCCTGTATTTCACTGCTGGTTAATATATGTCCACATCTTATTAAGTTGATTATAGTCATAAATGAAAAAGTCTCCAGATGAGGACATTTGAACCACATTATTAATTTCAGGGTCACGCTAGAGAGACTTAGTAGTAATTTTTTTAAGTTCCAAGTGTGATTGTCAGAATATCCTACGAATGATTGTTTTTGGATGAGGAAGCACTTGTTCTAAGACTCCTAGAAAAATAAATGTTGGTCAGAAACAGACATCCCAGAGCTTCTTGATCTAGATCTAGCAAAATCTAGCTTTAGTAGGAGATATCCCGACAGAGCCAGCAAGCGCTTGCCTTTGTCATTCTTTGAACAACATTACAGAATCCAAGCCCTGCTGAGTTCTGCAGTCCCTAGGAACAGAGGAGAACAAGGGCAGGTTTGCACATTCCAGAAGGATGCTGAATTTTGTAAACAGAGACAGGGTTATAAAAATCTAGGGAGAAGGAAAAATTCATATGCGCTCTCCACCCACCCCTTTGAGAATCTTATACTTATCTTATACTACAAAGCATATTTGATTGCAGTTGCTGGATTCCTGGTTCTGTTATGGAATTAAAGATTCTAATAAAGTGTTTATTTTGAAGACAAAGCAAAACTGAGCAAATACTCTGCCAAGAATATGTAATCTTCCAAACTGAAAAAGGAGAAATAAAGGAACTGCTTCATAACAATTTCTTCTTGATAGCAAACAACTGGTAGACCAGTGTTCTAATGATAATTCTATTCATAAGAGTGTAAAATCATTCCTATTATGTTTGTAGATTGAGAATTGATGATTCCCACTGTAAAGCAGATTTCCAAACCTCCCCAAAACCCAGCAGAATATTACTTAAGCTACTCAATCTCAATTTTCCCTCACCTAGTCCTCCTACAACACTGCATGTATACAACTGTGTGTGTGTATGGACACGCACAACATACACAATTACAGAATTGGTTACTTTCCCCAAGAAAGCTAATATTTTTTATAATTAAAACCATTGTCTGTATACACTTCAAATTTGCGGACAAGTCACATATGCAATCCTGCATACCTTGAACTCAACAGTATGTGCTGAAACTCAATGGTAGCAACTATAGTGCCCTGCCCTTGTGAACAGGTGTACTTTCTATTTATTTATGTGACTGCAAATGTGCAAATGCTCTTTTTAGCTACTCTAAACAAGCATCATAATATATTTCCACCCCACCTACCAAAGAATAACCCATGAAAAATACCCTTCCTTATTTCCTTTTGCAAGGAACTCAAGGCAGCTTACAAGCTCTCTTATTCTCCATTTTACTCTTGCAACAACAGCCCTGGAGAGTCTGTGACTAGGCCAAGCTTCATGGCTGGGTAGGGACTAGAACCATGGCTCTTCCACATCCCCAGTCCAACACTGTAACCACTATGCCACACTGGGTCTCCCATGCCACTTTTCTTACCTGCACCCAGCCTTAAGGTTATCCCAGCTGGATGAGGAGGATGGAGCTGGGAAGAATCAAATCATGTAGCAATTTGATAATGAGAAATATATTATCCCTTTTTACAAAATTGTCTCATGTCTCTAGGAATGACAATATGACTAAGCTTGGGCCATCTGGTTTCCTCCTGGGAAAAGTCATTAAAATTATAACTGGGATCTGGGAAGGTAATAGATCATTCATCACCTTTATCTTGAGATTGAGGTTTATTTCAAACCATTGATTCATAACCTGGTTTGCTGTGGTTCAGGTACGCTAAAAAACTGGGAACATGTGAAAAGTTCTTTGCGTGTTTGCTTGCACACAGGGAGAGATGAAGCAACTGTATACTTTATATCTCAACTTGTTTAGCCTCAATATGGTTGTCAAAATGTGACTACTGAGTGAATTTGGAAGGAATGAAAGAGGTATGTGGAGAATGTCATCAATAATCATTCACCTTCTTGACTGAGACCGATGGAGGTAAGATTAGAGCAACATCTGGAAGACAGCAGTTTCCCATTCTAGGTGTAGAACATGCACCTTCCATCCTTCTTTATCAAGGGCAAGCTTATTTCCTGGTAACAGCTCCTACTATTTTGGGGCATTTTAATGTTAAAATAAAATCTATTTAATTAATGAGGCAAAGTGGCAGGTAGGAATGCTTGGAAAATACTCCCTGTTTAGTTTCTTTCTGGATTTGGGAGATTCTATACTGCTCATACTTGTTTGAAGTTGGCACCAATGCCTAAGGAATCTTCCCTTTATTAATTTGGATTTTCAGGCTTCGTAGAAGCCATTGTGCACGTCCATCTTACCACTGTGTTCATTTTCACTTATTCATTCATTCCTTCAGTGTTTCCCTTCAATCATCATTTCTACTCCTTGATGAAACACTCAGCAAGAAAAAGATTAGAAAGGTGGTGCAGGAGAATTTGCTGTGTTCTTCTGCCTGTTTGCTCCTCTCTCCCATCTTGGAACAACAGTTGCTTGCACACAGTCCACACATTGGAATGTTCTCTCCAAGGAGATTCGCCTGACTCCTTCCTTACTTTCTTTTCAGCACCAAGAGAAGACCTTCCTTTTTAAAAAATATTTTGATAATTAATGCTATTTGACCTGCATATTGTATTTCTGCTTGCATTTTATTGTTCTTCTATTTTTAATATATTAATGGGTTTTTTTGTGTGTTGTTATCTGGTAATTGTGAGCCACCCAGAGGTGCTCTGGCACAATTATGCAGCGTACACATGATTTAAATAAATAAATACATTGCCAAAGTAGAGACTGAAAGCGATGAACACAAAGGAGGAGACCTAAAGGCTGCAGCAAAGTATCCAATGCTCCAATTCCAGACTTAAAATTACAGAAAGTTTCTTTCTTAACTCAGGAAGAGGAATTAGGAAACCCATCAAATAGCAGAATGAAACGAAGGCAATCTACTCATAGCATGACTCCTGTGATCAATGGCACCGAAGGAAAACTGGAGCAAATGCCTTTACCCCCCCTCAGGCACTGTTGACATGGCATTGTGCACATCCAAAAGATGCCCAGTGTGAAATCAGCCTTGATCAATTCTTGAGTTCAGTTTTTCTCAGCCTTCCCCCCTTTTTTTCCCTGCAAAGCTTCTGGACCACTGATGATGAGGTGGAGGTAGGAAATTCAGTCAGTCAGGATTCATTCGCTCTTATCTGTCACCGATCTTAGCTTTCAGCTAATTTGCAAATGTTTAGCACTTTTAGGCTAAAAGCATATACACAAGCATGGGAGGAATTGTGCAATACATGTTTATTCAGTAGGAGGATCCATCGACTCCGGATTGCACTGCAGGTCTCACTGAGCTCAACAAGGCTTGCATCTGATCTATTGCTGCCACGCTCTATTCCTCCAGATCATGGACAGTCTTCCAAGAGGAAGGAATCATGATATTACAAATACAAGGTCCCATTCCATTGGTATGGGTGCAGAAACACTCTTGTACTACAGAATGAAGTAAAGAGACCTGACTGTAACAAGTTTCAGCAACTTGGGGAAGGGCAGGGTCTTCCCTTGGTGTCTGCGAGAATACTGCTGGAGCAACCTAAGCTACAAACCAAACAGTAGCAACAAAATACATGAAAAATCTCTTCTGCTGTTTAAACTCTGTCCTTAAGAATTATGGGTCAGAGTTGCTCACCAGTTCAACTGCTGTTTTGTTCCAAGCCATGCACTATTATTATCAATAGCAGGTGTGTTTTGTGTGAGAATTATCTTGTCCCAGTGAGACATATAATTCAATTCCAGCAAAAGGCTATCTTCTGCAATTCCCTTTAGCAACCAAGTAAAGGAGTGCTTTAAGTTTGTAAGCAATCAAGACCTCACACTCCAGCTTGCCAAAAGGTTGCCACTTCATTTCTTGTACTTCTATAATAGTTGCATAACACTGAAAAGTTCAACCAATGATGATTCTATTGCTATGCAGCTTCAGTGATGGCAAAAGGGCACCTGTTGAATTTCTTTCCAACATGTGACAAGAGACTCTGGTGGATCCAGGCTTGATCATATTTAGAGTACACCCATTGAAATCAGTGGGGCTTAAGTTAGTCATTACTAACCACAGTTCCATGACATTCACTGGTCTCATGCATGGGAGCTAGTCTTTTTGGGCTCATGGGCAAATTTGGGATTTTGAGAAACTGCCATGGACATTACCACAAAATAGCCCTCAGGAGAATGTGACTAGTCACACAATGGCTGGTGTGTAGGCCTGGCTAATTAAAAGACTGGAAAGTCATCTGAGAAACTGAATAGAAGGAGAGGAGGGGCTTCAGTCCCAATAGCTACAAATTTGATCCCATGTAAGAACAATAAAAAAGATCATGTAAGGTTGTAGTTCTATTCATCCCTGTATGGAACTCAGTGGCATTTACTTCTGAGTAGAATTGTTCTGCTCATTCTATCAAACCATGTGCAGGCACACAGATATGCACATGGACTGGGAGTTGAGAGAGCCAAGCCAGAAGTGCTGTGTGAGCAAAAGATTGTGCAAGGCCAAGAAGTACCTTTTCCCAGTTGGAGCTTCAAGAACAAGAAGGGCAACCTGACATCCTAACATTTCTCAAGTTTTTAATTAATACATTGTTTGAAGGGGGCAGGGAACGGAAAGCTTTATGGACTCTGATGCATGGGTGCTGCATTGGAGACGGTCTACTAAACCAAACTATACTTAAACTAAATTTGGATCCAACCCTCAGCCTAGAAAGATGTAACACCTTGTACCTCCACAGAAAAGTCATTTCTGGGCAAAGATTTTAGTGGCATTTTCTTTTGTGAGTATATTACATACCATGCAGGGTTAACACCCACCAGCATCACCATTTTCAAAGCTATTCTCTTGTGCAAATTCCATTTTTCTATTGATGTTGCCAAACAAATTACTCCAGTTAGTAGCAGATGAAAATCTTTGAAATAAGAAGATGCTACCTAAAAGCAAAAGACAATTTGTTAGTGACATGTGTGCATCTTAGCTGCCATCATTCAATCTAAGGTAGTGAATATGTTGTGCAGTTCTGTAGGAAACAGACCTTTGAAAATCAAAATGTATGAAGCAGTTTGGAGAAGTAAAAGATACAACTGCTGCCTCAGTTCTCATGATCTTCTGAAACCTAGTGGATCAGTGGTTCGTGTTATGAGAGATAAATAAAACTGTGGGAAATCAGAGGTCAGTAAAGGGTACTTGTATAATGAGTTTAATGAAATGAAGTTATTTGCATTTCTGCTTTCTTTGCATGTCCTATATTGGCTCTTGGATTGTGACTTCATATTGGATGCTTGACCTGGCAATCAAAAGGCATTGTATACCTATTCTGACTTTTCCTCCTCTTTTTTTTCTCTGTAAAAAATAATTTATGGAGCAAGCAGTGGGAGAACAAGGGAGAGTTATAAATAGAAAACAACAATGCCATGTGGACTTCCCCCCACCCAGACAAGTCTGAACTTGAGGCAGTAAATTTCCACAATAAAAGCTTCATCTTGAAAACAAGTTATGAAAATTAGGATGGCTTAATATGCTAATTTAATGCTGAGGGATATGCTGAGCTATATCCCTCAGCATTCCCAGGGATATAGCTGAAGGATGTAACAATCTGGTTCAGAATATAAATTTGTCAAGTCCATAAACCTTGGGTGTTTTACAAACTATAAAATTTCTTCTAAACATCCTTCTCTGGTTCTCAGTGTAAAATGAGATGATGCACATTTGCATTCCAGATGACCAAATCTAGTTGTGTACGCAAAAGTTCTCTAAGATTAGACCATTACTGTCAGTACATTTTTCTGATGTAGACTGTGATTTGCCCTGTTAGGCAATTCCTCATCCAGCATTTATCATTTAGCAATTTCTTCAGTGGAGACTGTTGTATATACTGGAATGTAAGGGGATGTCCATGTATACAGTGGAGAATATATCTTAAACTCTCTTGATACGACTGCATTGATCCCTTAACAGAACTTGTTCCATTGTATTTCATTGAAGGGCTGGGTTTTGAGAATTGATGCTACTGGGTAACATCTGACACTGCTCAGGTGTCATCAAGACCCACCACTAATGCAATGAGAAGCTAGCAAATGGAAATGCTCATTTCTAGAACAGGTCAGGTCAGCAGGTCTCACAGCAAGTAGCTGGCTTGTCCCATTCCATAAATGCTCATTTCTGTTACTTTCTGCTGTTCCTATAGGAAGTGCTAGCTTCCTGTTAGGTGATGAAAGTAGTAGTCATGGAAGGAAGAACAAAAAGTTGTACCTGTTTGGACGCCATAATTCCAAACATTGGAAACATTAAAGCAGGAAGTAATGCTGTAACAGCCAGGGGCAGTGCTTCTGTAAGCCAAAAGATGGCCACCACAAACAACGTGTATGCACATTCTGCTTCCTAGAACAAACAAAAGTAATTCAAAAGCAAGTTAGATCTATGTTACACAATAGTAGCAATCCAATGGGAAAAATGGAACTAGAAAAAGGGAAAATCTAAATCAATATGATAACATCTGATTCAAGGGCAATATTCCATCCAACCAGAATTTGGATATTTAACAAATCTCACAAAAATGGTTGACATACTAGAACCCATATCCTCTTGAACTATGTTCTAAGGAAGAACCATCGAAGAGCTGTATAGATTTTAAAAAAGGAATTTGGTAACAACTGAATGCAAAATGTATTTAAACAGTTCAATGTTGAACAGGCAGAGTTCTTGCACCCATCCTGCTTGAACAATCCCAAGGGCAGCTGGTATGCCACTGTGTGTACGGAATGCCAGTCTAGATGGACCTGGTCCGGCATGGCTTTTCTTATGTTCTTACAATGGCAACATTAGAACTGCTGCCAAAAAGTCAAAGGGGATATATTTGTAAAGAATGGGGCATGGTTTATTACTTTCTGTATGTGTAAATAATTATATCCAAATGTTCCTTTCTGTTTTTCAATGACCTAGTTCAGGGAAGGAGGTGGGGAGCCTGAAGAGTTGAGATTTCCAGTTCTAAGGCCACAGACCATGCTTTGACCTCAGAACTGGGAATTGGAGGCCCTCCACTGCTCCTTCTCAGCCAGTGCAAAAATGCCCATTCTTTGTACTCTAAGGTTGGGAAGACAATCTCAGAGATGAGGCAAAGGAGGTGTTTCAGGGGCTGGGGAAAGGAGGAGATCGAAGTGACCTGGATAAGAGGAATCCTGAAGCTGTTCTGGTTCCTCCCCCCACCCCTTCTGAAAAATCAGTACCACATGGCCAAAAATGACCACCTAGGAAAGATGTGGAGCATTGGATGAATTTGGAGGCCCCCACACATCTCCCAAAATCGCATCCTTGGTGTATATAAAATGTGTGTGTGTGTGTGTTAAGAAGAGTAAATTGTTTATCAGTAATTTTAAATTGTGCATAGGAAACATGTAATGCATATATGAGCATGAAAATATATATACTGTACCTATGTAATTCAGAGAAGTATGTCCTACTGATTAATAGATATTATAATAATCATAAATATGCCATCATTTCAGATCCTGAGCATAGCTGACAAGGACTTATTAATGGATTCCCTATGTAGAATTACAGTTAGTAAGCTACATAATTATTTTGAAGTAGTAATATTTATGCCTCATAGGTGACCTCTAGATTTAATCTGAAAATTAAATGAAAATATGTCAAGGAAAATTATCAGTATGATTTCAACCCTTACTCCTGTGTTTCAACCAGTGCATCTGGAAAGTAATTATTTTCCCCTTTCCAGCTGATTATGCACCTTTAGAGAAAAAAACTAAAATTTCATGACATCTCAACTAGATATTCACATGCCTGGTTGTGAAACCAGTGAAAAGCACATTCCTGCCAAATGAACAGCTGTAGAAAAACCAGCATGTCAGATGTGGGTTTTCCATTAACTGATATATTTCATTAATATTAAATCAGCATTGTAATTTGAAAGTTACTGAACCTGAGCAGGCCACATTCATTTACTGATGGGAGGAGGGAAATGAGGGTGTAGGCTGCAATTGCCTTCTTTAAAGCTGTAGACCAATTCTCCAGATTTTGGTCTCCATTAGATACCTTTTGTATAATACAGGAGTGTTTCAGAGTCCTGCTCTTGTGCTAAAGCCAAGTTGGTTTTCAAACTAGCATGTTCTCTGTAGAGATTCCAGTTGGCAGTGAAACTTGACCCTAAACTTCTTACAATCTCCAACCCCTCAAAACAAAACCTAAAGAGCAAAAATGAATTGTAAGAGTGAAGGCCAACTCCAGTGTCAGATTGAGTAACAGCATGGATGGGGAGCTGCTGAGGGTCCAGAAGCTCAGACCTGCTTTTCTACTGCAGCTGCTGCCTGGGATGGGCAACTGCTCCTGCTTCTGCTACTGTAGTTCCTCCTCCTCCTCTTCCTCCTTCTCTAGTCTTCCTCCAATCAGGTCACCAGCCCCATTAGCAGAAGAAGGGTCTTTGGCCATCAAAGTGTTTTAACCTGAAGTTTGAGGAGACTGAGGTACTCAAAGGCTGGTGGAGTTGGTCTCCTCCCCTTCCTGCCTCCCTAAATCCTGCCTTAGAAATCTCTCTAACCTTGGAGTTACAGTTGGTACCATTCTTTTAGTTCTGGCTGCAAGGGCAGAGGGAGAGCGCCCCAAGTTCAGACTCCAACTCTGACCTTGAAAGAAGTGTCAGAAATCAGAGCTAGGATTCCAAATGATTCTATGGCCATCAAGACTCTGTCTATTGGCCATAGCATTGCACCCTTACATGTTGATTGACATTGCATCTCCAGTTTTCCTGCCAGACAAAACATCAATTTCTCCTAACTGTCTCAAACCTTAACTGACATAACTCCCTCCTTACCTGCTACCTTGTTCTCCTTCTACTTCAACTTCCTGGTAACCACCATCTCACTCACATTCAGCCCCTTCCTTCCTTCTTGATCATTCCAGTCATGCCCATTGAAGGGCCTTATATACACCCATATAGTAAAAATGGACCTTGTAACTCCCATATGGTAAAAATAAAAATACAATGATGTTATAATATCATTAGGACACAACACATACTAGATCTTTCCTCTGACCTGACAACAACAAATAGTTGGTCAGAAGATCTGTACAAATGGATATGTGGACCAATAAAGTTTAATCCTAACAGCTGACCTCTAAAACAACTGGATTTTGGTTGCCAGACTTTAAATTCCTATAATTAAGCTGTTTCTTACCATTTCTACCTCAACTTTAGCACAGAACATCCTCAGACAACCAATGAATTTTCAGATTTTAGAGTGTTTTCCAAAGCATTTTAAACAAAAAGTTGCCATTTTGATTTATAAGAGGAAAAGAAATAAAACACATTTTGCTGGGTAATACTTTGGGAGCAACCAAAACTGTGCAAACTTTCCAGTTCCCCAGAAGTCATCATCGAGCTGGGTGGTACAAGAAACGGGATGAAAGGGGGAATAGAGGATTGGGGTTTGTCCCTAATCCCCTTGCCATTTCATTCCATTTCATCCTCTAGCCAGATGAAGACTTCTAGGGAACTGAAAAGCTTGCACAATTTTATGGAATGTTGGCTTGCCTTAAGAAAGGAGTTGCACAATTGCGGCTTTTGCATTTTTATTATGTTCTATTGCATTAGAACTGGTTTAGGTGTGGCAAACCACCATGCTGTATAAAGTTTGCATTTATCACCTTAAGTGTTAATAAATGTATGTCTTCACAAACATCTACAATTCCTGGAAACTGCTTCCTCAGGTTGGGACCCAAACGCTTTGTGACCTGGGTTTGAGCACCGCAATCAAATGTGTGAGGTTGATAAATCTGTGCCTTTTCTATCTGATGATCATTTGCCCTTGCAGAGCTACTTCCACATGGCTGGGCGGCATGTGTGTGAAGAAGACTTTGGGAACAATAGTTCATAGCTGATAGTGCTGCTTACCTTTTAAAGTTCCGATTGTGTCATGGTGTGCTAATCCCAAACAGCAAGTTATAATTTAATTTCGACTATCCTTAAAGTGGCAAATAAACCTCCAGGAAGCCAAAAAGACACAGCTATGCATATTTGCATTCTGTAACCAGTTTTTTTTTCTTTTACCATTTGAGCAATGCTGAAAATGATAATTTTGCACATACGCCATAATGCAGGGTAGCATGGCCAGAAGAATTAATCATTAAAAGAACAGATTGAGTGAGTTCGTTCTCTGTCTGTGTCCCAAACCATATTATCCATTTCAATAGGATTGTAAACAAGAGAAATTTATTCATCTCTCAGTTTGTGTGCGCATGTGTCTTTTTTTAAAAATAAGCCCACCCCCAGCAACCATTATTACACAATTGTGTTACCTAAGAAAAGCAAAACAATCTGTTTGCAAAAAAAGAAAGGAAATCAAATATGAAAGTGCTGCAGTCTCGTATGTTTCCAAATCCATCCATTTTTTTCTTGTGCTCATTCACACATAATTTCATAGAATTGCCAGATTTCTTAGGATGCAGCATGGAACTTTGCTGGTGTGATTTATACTATTGGGATTCTTATGAACCAGTACTTTGGGGTCACATGTTACCGTGTGTGATTAAGAGGATGCATTTGCTTGAAGAAATTCTAGGTAGCAGGGATGCCTTGTGTCAAATTACAGTGGCGGAGGAGACAGGTCCATGGACAAGCATCCACTTTGTGGTAGTTCCCATTAATGGGTATTATTCAAATATTATGAACCTCTCATATTTCTTTTTCCCGTAACCGAAGAAGCTCCAAACAAGTCAAATCCAGTTGCACTATGACTATGTAACAGATTAACCACTGGCTGCTGTTAGCATGGAAGCATTCTAGTTGAATGTATCAGCAGGATCTAGTCTTTTTAAACTTTTCAGTAGATAACAAAAAAATAACAGTTTTCAAGCTACAGAATATAACTCTGTACTTCGTAAGAGTAGATTTGGATATGCATTTTCCTTTCCAAATGGGCTATATATGCAACTCAATATGTGTGAGTGGACAATGTGCTTATATATGTTAGTGGAAATCTATCAATAAGTGGCTTGACCTTCAGTGCTTAGAGGGAAAACAAGTAACTTGGTTGTGGTGGAATCACACTTAAATCTGCATATAGTGTATTATGCTCTGTTCTCAAAGGAGTTACTTCCTTGAACATAGTGCTCTGAATGAGGACAAGAAATGAGGCAATGTGAGTGGGAAGAACAATTCCTTGAAAAACCATGACAACGGGCAATCCCTGAATAACCAGAAAAACAATTCCTGAATCACCAATGCCTCAGCTCTTAAGAAGCAAGTCTCCAGGTTCACTGAAATCAATGGGAGTTTTCCCTTAGTGGAGCCAAGATTTCACCCATTAATGTTATTAATGTCTGAAAAACATCTTAATGAGATAGCAAGATAAAAGGCCATGTTTCTTCCCCAATAAACAAGCCAGTAGTTTCTACTTCATTTGGCCTTATGTGATTAGTCATCATTAAGGCCTTTAATGTGAAGTACTGGATTGATGAACAGCTTCTGGATTCTTTCCTAAATACCTGACTTACAGTCAATTCTCAAGGCTGCTTGCTGTGTGGCAGCCTCCACACACTTCGATTTCAACCTGCTGGTAGTAGCATGACTGGTATGCAGCAGCTGCAGATGCACACAGAACGTGGCGTGTATTGACTTTTCAGCATCCACCTGAAAGCATCAGGGTTGGGAACAATGAGATATCAATGTGTGCTGAAGTTGGTGTGCCAGCGGCCTGCACTCAGTGACGCCAGGCATGCCTCTATGGTTTGAGGTTGGTGAACGGGGCTGATTTAGCATTTCAGAAGGAGTGAAGTGGGTTGCCTTTTAGGTATGTTTGTTCTGCTGGGAGAGTCTGAATAGGCATGCTGGAGAAGAACAAGGAGCATGTTATGGGTTTAAGGAAAAAAACATGGTTGTTTTAGTGAAGTACTTAAAGAAAGCCAGTGTGGTGTAGTGGTTAAGAACAAGGATTTGGGGAGTCAGGTGATCTGGGTTCTAGTTCACGGTTGGCAATGGATCTATCTGGGTGTCTTTGAGTCAGTCACAGATTTTCAGTCCAGCCTAACTGACAGGGCTGTTGTGGAGATAAGATTGAAAGCAGCAGAAGAAAATTGTAAGCCACTTGGAGTCCTTTCAAAGAAAAAAACCAGAATGTAAATCTAATAAATATGTAAAGTTGCTCTTACATAGCTTGCAAGCACCTGATCGTGCATTTCTATGATACCTGCCTCCATTTAGTAGAACTGGAGATTATATGCATAGTAAGGTCACATGGGAGGCTCACACCAGCTGAAGGTGAAAGCGATGGGGTCTATCCAAAAATGGGATCTCAATATTGCCTAACCAAATATGGGAACTAAGCATTAGGATAGAGATAGAGGACAGGAAGGCCTGGAGGAGTGTTGTCCATGGGGTCGCGATGGGTCGGACACGACTTCGCGACTAACAACAACAAGAACAAGTGATTGGAGCTAATAGCAGTAGCAGAATTTAGTTCTTTCACTCCATTCAGAGAGTGATGTTGACATTCCTACCAAAATGTGTGTTTCTTCAACTCTGAAATCCAGGGTGCAGTTTCAAACCTGCATAGCACCTCCCACATTACATGTTAAGCCTGGGACTAAATGCACCCTCCATGGCTTCAGTGAAAGCCAACTTTCCTGCCCTCCTTCCCACCTTGATTTGTTGGCATTCTTATCTGATGAAGAGGTCACTCTATTTTGCAACATTTCAGTTGGTCAATTAAAAGCATTCCCCAAATGTGGATTTTGGAATGTTCCTTATGACCAAAACCATTCACTTTTCTCAAATAACTGGTATTGATGCAATTATGTGTCGTATAAAACCAGCCACAGACTTTCTTTCAAAACAAAAAAGCAATTAAAACTGAAACTCCATGTGCAATTATAAAAACAAAAGGGGCAGATCAAACATTTCAATGAGGTTTGAAAACATATGGATTTTGAACTATAGTTATTCACTTACTTTGGTTCTGATGACAAGAGGCAATGGAAGCAGCAGAAGGGGCGTAAGAAGAATGAGTAAGAATCTGCGATACACCAAGAGTTTTCTAATAATGTTCATGGTTGTAGGTTTGTGGCTTGACTTTGCTGTAGAGACAGTAACAAAAAAATAGAATGAAGCTTAAATAGATGTGTCTGATTAATATTTCTCCAATCACCTTTAGCCATTGCAACAGAGGCTTCAGTCAAGCCAAGTTAAAAATAAATCTTGTTCTTTATTGTTTTAGTGTCTACATCAATGCTTGAGATAAGAGATGTATTCACCAGCAAAGATTCTGCACACTCCTTTAACATAACACTATTTCCATTTTCATTTTACTTTTTTATCATAACCTTTTTCTACACTAGAAAGAGGCCTAAAACCCAAAATATTTTTTCCATCTTAATTAACCCTGAAGGGTCTGGGATCACGCATACCTATTTTGGTTAAATGTTCGGCCAAAGTAGAAATAAATTGAATTGAATGGACAATCATCTAAAAAGTCAATATTCAGAACTTGTCTTACATGTTTTTGATTGTAGTGTCTTTGAGATGCTAGTGTCTCACTGGGTTTTGGTATCTCATATCTCAAGCTGACAAAAAGGTATAATTTAAGTGCAGGGTCCTCAGGCTATAGACCACTTGCCATTACAACTTCTGGACAAGTGGAGGGATTTGTGAGTGAGTGCCTGTTTCAGTGCAGAGTTCTGCACAACAGCTAGACGTGAGGTGCTTCTAAGTGCTTCTGCAAAGGTGGCAGCCCGAATTTAGGGTGACCAATCATGAATTACCAAAAAAGAAGACTTGCTTCACCACCGAAGAGGATGAAAGAGGACAACTGGCACAAGACTTTCATATGTTAATTGATACGTATAGATACACATTCAGAACTTACTACAATTTAAGTAAAATTGCAGTATAGCTCACTACAGTGAGGAAGACTCACTGTAGCCTTTGCTTGGTCCAGTTGTCAGGTAATGTTCAGCTCTCACTGCTGAAAACACACACACACAAACATATATGACCTGGTTGGCCCTTCAAATAGATAATGCTTTCAAAACTGGAAAAACTTCTCTGGTAGCCCTTCAAAACCATGACTATTCTCTGTATGAGGAGCCATGGCCACACTGTTGTTGACCTTGACTCCTCCTTCACTGACAGTGGCATTGAATGATGTACAGCAGTCCTGGAAACAACCTTCCCCCAGATAATGTTCTTATCAAATATTGAGCAAATATGTTAAATAAAAGCACATATTGTTTCCGGCATAAGGAAAAGAAGCAAGGAATCTCAGTGAATATTCAAATGCATTTCATAGCATTCTTGCTTCATGGACTGTTTGCACGGCGACAAAGGAAATATGCCAACTAATCTCAACTTTATGCCCCTTTGATGACCACATACTGTTCAAGGGCACATGTGCTGTAACTACAGAACACTTACTACAGAATGCTTACTACTGGGTGCTGCCATTTTATTATAGACCCTCACTGTCTGTGGGGGAGTAAGAAAGCTCCCTCCCTCCCTCCCTCCCTGACCAATGTCCAACAACAAGCAAAGCAGTATCTGAGAGTACAGACTTGGACACCCACCTTCCAGTATCCCTGGTTAGCTAATAGTTGTTTAAGATTTACTGGTGGATATCTGTTGACAGACCATTGCACTGTGCCTCAACTGCAGTCCTATGGACACTTGAATGGGAGGAAGACCTACTGAACCAGACGGGACTGAGTGGACGTGCATTGGATTGTGCTGCAAGGTTACAATTCTATACTCACTTATCTTGGCTTGAATCCCACTGCACACAGTGAGGGGTTTTTTCCTAAGCAGGCATATGTAGAATTGCACTGTAAATAGAACTGAATCCAGATAGTCTGTGAGAAGTGGTGGGATTTCAGTGGGCAAAAAGGAGATGATAAGCTGTAGCATGCTTTTCTGTTAAATCGGTATTATATATGTGTACTTGTCTATGAAGTGTTGCTGTTCTTCACTAGTCTAGCATAGTATTGATGCTAAATCATCGTCATCATCATCTAGTAATAGAGAGTATGTAGGGTTATTTATTTATATATTATTTGCATTTATATGCCACCCTACTAGCCCAGAGGGCTCTCTGGGTGGTTTACAAACATTAAAACCCACCAATCCTAAACAAATAAATAAATTGGCTATACCACAACAGTATAAAACAACATAGTTAAAATGAATTAAATAAATAAATATACCATTAAAATTAATTAACTTTAAAATATTGGTTAAATAAAAAGGTCTTGACCTGGTGCCGAAAAGCATATAATGACGGCGACAGGCAGACCTCTCTAGAGAGCACATTCCATAGTCAGGGCGCTACCGCAGAGAAAGCTGTCCTCTGAGTACTCTGTCTCCTACCTCTTTCAAAGAGGGTTCCTGGAGGAGGGCTTCTGCTGACGATCTCAGGGGGCAGGAGGGCATATAGGGAAAAAGGCGTTCCTTTAGGTATCCTGGTCCCAAGCCGTTTAGGGCTTTATAAGTAATAACCAGCACTTTGAATTGAGCCCAGACTTCAATGGGAAGCCAATGGAGCTGACAGAGGGCTGGAGTTATGTGAGAATAACCACCGGTCCCCGACAGCAGCCCGGCAGTTCTATTTTGCACAATCTGAAGTATCCGGACAGTCTTCAAGGGCAGCCCCACATAGAGTGCATTACAGTAGTCCAAATGGGAGGTAACCAGTGCATGTGTCACTGTTGCCAGGCAGTTCTCCTCCAGGTAAGGACGCAACTGATAGATCAGCCAGAGCTGAAGGAAAGCGCTCCTCGCCACCACTGTCACCTGGGCTTCCAGGGACAGTTCCAGGTCAAGGAGCACTCCTAAGCTGTGGACCCTGTCCTTTTGTTGTGGTGGTTATCGTTACATTGCATTTTTTATCCCACACTTTTTTGTGAGGAACCCGATTTGGTTCACATAGTTCTCCTTGACTCCATATTCATCCACACAACCAAAGCCTTGAGTGGTGGATTAAGGTACTCGTGAATGACTGATCCATCGTCACCCAGTGAGCTACAACCTGGACCTTCCAGGTCCCCATCCAACATCTAACCAGCACACCACACTGGCTCCTAATTCAAGTTTAGCTGCTAGTACCTGTGTGAATTGAAAGTCCCATATAGAGGACCGACTTACTAGACTTTAAAAGAATGTTACATTTTGGAATCAATGCATGTCCCCACTTCTACAAGAAAAATCTAACCCACATTACTCATAGAAGAAAATACAACTGACAGTCTATTAAGCTGGATCAACTAATTGAAAGCAACCGTTATTTTGTTGTTGAGATAGCAGACAGCAGATTAAGTTTGTATTAAGTCCAGTTTACAAACTTATATATGGTATTAGAAATGTACCAGCTGAATTCTGAAACTGCAGAATAGACAAACAGAGCACAAGGTATTTCCTGCAAGACTGATCAAGGGATTTTGTTATCTGAGGCAGAAATTAGAATACCAGTAAATTAAGGCTGCAATTCTATGACCTTCCAACAGCATCTAGAGGGCAATAGGATTATTCAGTTCCAACTTTTACAGTCCCAGTTTTCATGAAGCTGGGACTCCAAATGCAGAATCCATTTTAATTTCTTACAATGCTCCTGATCTACCATAATTCTTAGGAATTGTGGGAAATCTGAAGAAGGGATTGAATGTGGCCTCCCAGAACTTCTTGGAGCACTTCCACCACAACTGTTTATGCTAGTTGAGGTCCATGATGAGAAGCAGGGCCCACCAGAGGACACCATCCATGCCTCCATATTCCCATCTGGGGCTGGATTGATCCAGAGAATGATGTTATTTCCCCCCTATAGAATAGTAACTTTGTGAGTTTTAATTTAGTGCACGCTAATCCAACTTTTCTCCACGAGAAACCTTTATAAATTAGATAATGATAGTGCTGTAATACAATAATAAATACAATTACTTAATACATAAAACACAATTTATTTATATTTTTCAAACAACACAAAATGCTGCAGGTTACTCCCAGCCACTTAGGGAAATGCTGTTGGTTAAGAGTCCAGCCAACCTCAAATCAGAGCCCCTATATCTGGTGAAGGCCCCCTGATGAGTAGCAGCACTTTCAGGTGTGAGAGGAAATAGAAACAAACACCTTTTTCTTTCCTGGCTATCTAAAGGCCAAAACAGACATTATTCCAGTCCATTTCTAGCAGCTGTGTCTATATCTCTTTGTACTTTACAGCAGGTGGAGAAGGCTCATCAGATTTTAAAAGTCCCTGCCCACTGTACTAGGGTCCTGATCCAGATTGGGCCACCTTCATCTTTTCTAGAATGAAAAGGTGAGGGCAAGAGGTAGCTGCTAGGAACAGATTTAAAGTAATGTCTATTTTGCCATAGGATCATTCCCTGCTATTCCAAAAGCAGCAACGCACAACCACAAAAATGCATTTATATATCTGTACCTTCAAAATGAACCATACTCTGTACAATTCATTTATATAGGATTTCAATCCTTCTTGGAGTAGAGGGCACTCCACAGGTTAGAGATTTCCCATGCAGAAGCCATACCCATGAATGGCATATAGATTGTCCAACAGTGTCTTAATCATCTGTTCAAATTATGTCTTGCAAATAGCAAGGATGTAAAGATGCATCTAAATGCCAGTCTGCTGAGTACAACTTCATCTTCCCTTGTATCTTCCTTGCTTCACTCATTGCAGAGTCAGCTTTGCTTTGGTCATCAGCTTTTGGATCAGCCTATCAGTTAATCCAGATTTTAACTGCACTGCAGAAAGGCAAACTTGTTGACCCTTGTGCCCATTAATCTTTGCCAATCATAGCAGCTGTTGTAATTTTTTTTTGTACCGATGAACTTAGCAACCCTTTCATCCTTTAGAAGAAAATGTTCTGTGATGAGTCCAAAACGAAGAAAATAAAAAGTTAATTTATCAGATTAATTAGCCCTATCAACCAAAGTAACTGTTATAACCATTTGTTTGCACTGCAATAGTTTGCAATGTCCCAGCTGGGGTCTTGCGCACTGAGGTACACAGTATTTCAAGGCTCCAACAACACAAAGGCCCTTGTTCATGACATCATGTTCTGGCCACAGGTTGCTGAGAGTGTTTG